TGGTTGGTTACATATACACAACTAAGTATAATTTACAAAAATTGAAAGTTATCATAGTATAAACTTTTCAAGAAACAATAAAGCAATTTTTGTGCACAAGAATATGTTTTAGAGAGAATACACTACCATGTCTTCAGATTTCATATAAACAGTAACAATCTTCTTTATGTTCACAATATCTCACACAAAGTGATAATCTACCTCCATACATTTGATTCTCTAAAATACTACTGGATAAAAAGCAATATACATAACAGCTTGATTGTCACAGAACAATATTATGAATTTGCATAAAAATAAAAAAAAAAACCCATCTTAGCAAAGGTAAACAAACCCAAATCATCCAAATATTGCATATGCCATCCCTCTATACCCAGCTTCTACACTTCAATTTACCACTTCATTTTGCTTCTTTCTGTTACACAGAACTAAGTTACTCCAATACTGTGTAACATCCAAAAGCGGACCTCCTATACAACTATTTACAGAGTTAATGAGATTTGTAAGATTCATCTTTTTGTTTTACCATTTAAAGATGAACACTGGCTCACAAACAATGTTTAACATATAAAGGCAAATCTCAATCCAGCACACTGAGATGTTAGCTGTTAACCAACTTAATCCATAAATTTTGTCCCATCAGATATAAAATTTGACAACCAAACCAGTGACTAGCGGCAGAAAAAAATATGACTAAAAGAAATGAAGGATAAATCCTAGCCTAAGTTTGAGGTACGTTACAATTTGAAAAATTAAGGAAAGAGAGGTAGAAGGGAGCAAAGTGCCTGAATGGGGGCCATCTCATGTATATAGTCACTAGGTAGTAAGTATTAATAATAAATAAGGATCCATAGAACATGATGAATGTTAACCTTATTGATGTCCAACAATTTGAAAATACAGCCAAGTTCTCCAAGCATGCTTTATAGCATATCTTTATATGCATTTTAGCATTTTCCTTAAAATTATTAAACTGTGCTTTCAAAATGATGGAGAACTGGAACTTACCAACAGGGCCTGCTTGAACAAACAATTCCCACAGTAACTCTTCAGTTACCTACAGGCAGATAGACAACAAGAATTAGCCACATAAAAGTTAAACCAATCATAGAAAGATTTTTGGGAATCCTTAATGATAAAGCTATCTCATATCCCTTAAAAAAAATCCAACAAAAAAAAATGGAGTATCCTAGTGTTCAAGCAGGGTAAGTGAAAGTGCGGCTACTAGGAGATTAATTGATGCAAAGCGTGAAAACAAGAAAAATACAAACTTGGAAAGAAGTTTAGTTATAATGTAAGTATTATGACAAAAATCCTATGGTACAATGCCCTGGTCACCTTAATCAATTCTGTTACCGGTTAGCCTATAGTTTAAAACTAAATTCCAAAAGAGTTGTTGCTGGGTTTGACCACATTTTTCTTATAGAAATTATGGCACTTTATTTCTAAATTTCCTGCAACCTAACACTTCCAAAATGAAGCCAACTTCAAGCTTTCCTCTTCAAACCATATATATTATTTCTCCTACTTTTTGAATACCTCAACTTCACAAGCTTTTTGATAACCTCTTTGCACAAGAGACCTAATTGTAGATGGTATAATCATAAGTTTACTAGTGGTGTTCTGCATAAAAAATGCACCAAGTGTATGTCAGTGTTGCTTTGTATGAGCAGTGACTCAGTAATATAGCAGCTTCTTTTTTTTTTTTTTTTTTTTTTTTTTTGCGTAATGAGAGCTGTAGAATAGTTTTTATCCATGAAGAAGGCATTCCATTAATGTTTCTGGTGGAGCTGATAGTTGAATTACCCTTATTACAAGAAGCAAGTAACTCGTGCTACACTTGACTACTTGAGCCATTTTACTTCAATTTTTCCTAATTTATTTAGTTCGCTATTATGTAGTTGCACCCCAATACCAAGGTTCAATTGAAATTAAACCTGGCAGAACAATGAAGGTAAAAAAAGAAGAAAAAAGAAAAGAAAAAGAGAGTGTATTAACCATTGTATGCCCTCCTGCTTACACGGGTGATGGGTGGAGAAGATTAAAGAAACCTTTATTTATAATCAAAATTTACGACTACATTTCAGTATACCATACCTTTGATATGAAAAAGGATATCCGGTAATCACAACCACTAGTAACTTATGCAACACAGAATGGCTTTATACTGTCAAGAAACAAAAGCATTGTTTATTAGAAAAATCATATTCTGCACAATATACACCCCCACAAATCGAAGCCAAAACATGGCACACAAAGTGACTGATTCACTCAATACTTTTATTTCTATTAAGTAAGAATGCATAAATCAGAGCCATACGCAAGCAGTTGGAACATTCACACAAATATCAAATCCATGCAAATTCAACAAGCACTCAATTTTAAATTATAACGGGTCCTAAATTTCACTATGAAGCATTCCATATGAACGATTAAGAACTCCAAAAGCACAAAAATATATGAAACATGGCTGACAACGCCAATTTACAACTTCAAATTTCACTAAAAAAAGAAATGGGCATGCAAATAGACTGTAGTTCTTATTTTATCTGAGTTTTGTTTTAGTTGGAAATTGAAAACTACGTTTTCAACATTGGTGTGTTGTATATACATATATACAATCCCTATGATAAAATTGCATGTGAGAAAAAAACTCAAATTTGTAAAAGAAGTTTTATAGAAAGAATAAAAAGAATAGCGAAATGAACTGAGGGAAGAAAAACCTGAGGATCGAGGTTGCCGACGTAGACGGTGGCTTCTTGGTCCCTTTCAGCAGAGTGTTGGCCGAGCAGGTTCGCTCCGACCCCCGGAGCTATTCGAGTCGTCATCGTCTTCTTCTCTCTCGCTCTCCTTCCAGACTCTTCGAGTCCACCTTCTATTTACAAGTATAAATGTACAATAATGAATTAATAATGTTTGTTTTCTTTTCTTTTGTTTTTGGCTTTTTTGTTTTTATTTTTAAGGAAAATAAAAGAAATGATGACATTCTTGAAGAAGAGTTAAAATAAAAGTAATTACTTTAACTAATTTATTATCATATTCATATATATTTTTATAAGGTTAATGCTATTTATATTATTATGAAAGTTTCAAAATTGTAAACCTTTCTCTTTAAATAATTTCACTATAAAAAGGATAGTAAAAATAATTAAATTATCCTTTAAAATCACTCCTTATCCTTTAGGAGTATTTTCTTTTCTCAATTAAAAACAAAATATTAGTTATCCCTTTTTTCTTTTATTTCGTTTGGAATAATACCTTGAGCTTATAAAGATTCTGTCATATCATTTACTAATATGGAAGAATAATGTATTGAATGCAGGAAAAATGATATTTACGCCCGATGGATTTACCCGATTTGTTAGGTAGATTCCTATGTAGCATCTAGCTAGCAAAAAGAATGGGCCCCACTCTCTCTCTCTCTCTCTTCACCCATCTGCGATTTTCGCTCTAGTTTCGATTTTCTCTCTAGAAGACCGGGAATGCCAAATTTGGGGTGTCAAAAATCGATGGCGGTGTCGGCAACGAAACTCTGATCGATTTTTTTTATTATTATTATTCGATTTCTTTTTCCTACTGTTAACCAAGGACTGCTAGTAGGATCCGTGCCGTGTATTAATTATGCAAAAATGTTCCACTCTGCTCAAAACCCATTTGTAAAAAGAAAGCAGATTGGCGACGGAGAGACACAGACGATGGAGAAAACAAGCACCGGCCGACGGTTTATGGTTGCCGACAGTTGAATTCCATCAAGGACGGATTGCTGTGGATGTCGCCGGAGTTGAGTTGACCCGTGCAAATTAGTCAGGCGTGTAATGTATTAGTGTTGGGAATGCGATCCGGAGGATTCCGCCGTTTGATTATCGGAGCTGAAACGCGCCAGAGTTGATGGGTCAGTCAATGAGCTTTGCCATTGAAGAAGCACACTTGGACTGTGTGATTTCCTTGGTTGGTTGTTGTTCGGATGCTCGCCGGACTTGAACTTGAGAACGCAGGAAATGGGTTTGATGAAGCTCTACACTTGGATCGAGTACACTGAAACAGCTTTCTTCATATCAGTTTGTTCTAAGGAGAGAAGATGAATGGACAACGTGTGATGATTTTGATGCCAAATTGAATTAATTTTTTGCCAGATGTATGCCACATGTATTCTGCCTAGTAAGTAGGTCAAACTGTTCTGTCTGAATATCACGACCCTTGAATGCATGGTCAATCCAATGATTATACGCAAACTCACTATATTGTAATTATGCCTATATAATTTAATTGGGTGTGTATTTCTAACCCTTTAGATTCAAAATTGAAAAGAATAGGAGAGAGAAGGGAATGGAGAGGATCCTCTCCATCATTGTTCTATGTACTTGTGAAGTTGGTTGGACTTGGAGTTTGTTTCAGCCGTTGGAGAAACGGGATTCCTGTTAACTGTTGTCCCTACTTTTGCAATGTCATGTTTTAATTTGCTCAACAATTATGAAACCATATTGTTGTGGAATAGAGGAGGAGAATGTTGAACATCTTTTGTTCACATTCTATTGATGTATGGAAATTGTCCCCTTTCAAAATTGATCTCTATGGGCGATTTTAATGCTTTCTTGTGTTTGGTCTTTCTTTTTGTTGGTGGTGCATTTGGAAAGCTCGAAATCGGAGAGCTTTTTGACTACGTCTTCATCTATTGTGAGCAAGGTGACTTCCCAGTTCTAGGCCGATGCATATGCCGTGCCCGACGTGGTGATTGGTAGGTTTCATCTCGACCGCTTGGTGGCAGCTTTGTCATTTTCAAACTGAAGGAGGAGCAGGAGGAGTTTTACTAGATAGCTTGGGCTCAATACCTCTCACAATTTTCTGACATCAAACAAAATTTTACGTCTGCAGTTGCCCAAAGTATCATCTTCCTTATTAATAGGAAAGATTTATGGGCTTATACGGAAGTACAACTCAAGATCCGATAACAATTAGTAACAAAGCCGGACTACAACTATTGCAATCAAGTGCACGACTACTACTATTTCAAGCTCACATTAATTTTCACATTTATGTAAAGAAATACTGAATTTTACTACATTATTGTTCAAAATCGCAACCAAAAAAAAAAACAAAAAACAGAAAGACGAATAGGACCATCAAAAAAATTAAGAAACAGCTAAACTGTTATTAAGAACATAAATCACAATAAATCATCCACAAGAAAGTTTCTCCTAAAGAGACGAGATCACCCAAGAACTGACATCCAGGCAGAGTCAAAGGAGAAAACTTAGCCATCATACTCCCTTTGACTAAACTTGTTCTCGGGATAAAATACAGCTACTACTCGATTCCCGCCAAATTTTATATCATTTAACCCTGTATGAGCTTTCGTGGCACTATCAAGATCTGCATACTCCAAAAACACCTAAAAGAAACAAGAAAATTTTCATTAGCATTTGCAGATCAAATTGTTCCATTAACAAATGAATAGCTAGTATTATGTTTATGCATGAACAAACTTTGAAATAATTTCAGATAGTCTAAGCTATATATAATTTCACCAGAAATTTAAACAATTGTTAGAATATTAAATTTAAAAAAAATATATATATATCCAATCTTCATTCAATACATTAACTATATATTTATCTGGTCAAAATCAACTTGGTATACCAGATACATGTATCTAATTTTAACATTAGAAGCAGACTAAGAGTTCATACTAACCTTTCCAACCCCTGGAGCCGGTTCACCGTTGGGATTTGGGCGTGGGATTACAACGTTCACTAAAGTACCTGCAAATTAAATACAATGAAAATTTGATATGCAAAAAATTTCTCAGAATAAACAGAGAATGAGTATCAGTTGAATATAGATAGAAGGTTATGGAGTCTTCTGTATTGAATGTATGTTAGGCCTGATTCTGTATAGCAGAATGTGGGACTACAATAGGCTGTAAAACAGAAAGATATGAAACTTAGAAAATCAATATGTGTGCAGATTTTCAGGTAAAAGAAGCAAATAAAAGAATAGATGGAACACCAGTTTGCTCAAAGTACTTACCGAATTTTCCACATTCCATTCTCATGTCTTCCACTATGTCTTCATAGTCCTCATCATCTTTGAGCTCATCCTCAGTGACCACTTGGGTTAAGCATAAAACCTTAGTGGCAAGTGAACCAGCTGGTTGTAACATGAGCCTCTGCAAAACAAAATGGTATTAAGAACTAACCAGCAGACCTTAACCAAACAACCAAATAGCATATAGCTAAATAGATAAATATACGAAAATGAATCCTACAGTTGGTTAAGCAAGTTTCAGAGTAAAATGGTGGAGACAAATAAATTCTCACACCTGAATTGCTATTTGTTGCTGTGCATGCAACAGTACACTATCTTGTTCAGGTTTAGGCTGGGTAGCGCCCTGGTTGGCACGCCTCACAGTAAGAGTTTTATCACCCATTTTAATCCCATTTAGAGCTGCACAAGCTATATCCTGGTAAATGCATAGCCTTTCGAGTTTCCTGTTTCTCTATCTTTCACTAAATCAAAGCCCCCGAAGGGGCCCAAACGACTCGAGCAGCTCCCTGGTCTGTGCTTCTGTGAAATAATAGGGGAGCCCACCCACAAAAATACGATCAGGACCCTCAAGCCCGCCAGCGGATCCTGGTGTTAGCCCAACAGCACCTAAGTTCAAACTGGGATTGGGTTGGCTCGGACCAAGTGTAGCAGCCAAAGAGGGATTGTAATCACTGGGCCTCCTGACCTTAACTGGTGCTCCCTGTACATATGAAAATTAAAGACAAACAGACAGTACAATGTACAAAGAATTGCAATTCCCATTAAAAATATTCACACAAGCAAAAAATCTATAAAGAACTAGTAATTAGATTTTTTTAAAAAAAGTAAATAACTTAGCAAAATTTGTAAAATAAAAAATGACATGCATAGGGTTACTACCAGCAAAAAAATCTAGATATCTTGCAAGATAAAAAATAAATAAAAAGATTTCAGCACATGCAGAAGGCTTTTCCTATTTCTAACTGTGTCAAAATGATATCATACTTGAGATGCCAAAAAATGATAGGGAAAGGAAACTCAAGAAAAATAGCCCCCAAATACCTCAAAGATAATGCCATCTAGGGCAATGGCATTACTGGCTTCCTCAACAGATCTCATCTCCACAAAAGCAAATTTCTTCTCGTGGCTTATATAGACATTGACAACAGCATCCCCTGAATATTATAAAGGAGAGTATTACTACTGTCGATGAGAGGACCAGATTGACGTATGCTGAATTTCAGACTCGCTTTGATGACAAGTATTTTCCTATGTCAGTAAGATCAGCGATGAAGACTGAATTTCTGGATCTGCAACAGGAGGATATGACGGTGGCTGAGTATGAACAGAAGTTCATTAATTTGTCATTATTTGCACCAGAGGAGGTCAATACGGAAGAAAAGAAGAGAGACCGCTTTGTGAAGGGTTTGATATGGCCGATTAAAGTGGTGATCATAGGTAGTCCTGCATATACTACTTATATCCAGGTGGTTAATGCCGCCTTACAGCACTGCCAGATGAGGAGTGATTACCGGAAGTCTAAGGGAGATAAGCGGGCTAACCGAGACTACCAGACAGTGGAGAAAGGAAGCAGCAGTGGTACAAAGTCCAATGATCGGGGCAGATTTCAAGGACATCAACCTTGGAAGAAAAACAAAGGAAACCCAGATGTGCAGAGGGATGGAGTCCCTAATCAGGGTAGACAAGGTGGGGTACCTTAGACCGGACAGGAACAGTGGTCGGGAAATCAACAGAGAAGGCAGACAGGTCCTTTTACGGGACGTTGTTATCACTGTAGAGAAATTGGGCATCCGGCCAAGATGTGTCCCAAAGCTAAGCAGGGACAGTATGGGCAGCCGAGACCTAACCAGCCATTACCTCTACCGGCCCTACCGATGCCACGTGGGCAAGTTCAGAATTTTCCGGCACTTCCAGCACCACCATTTCCTCCGGGACAACCTCCACAGCAGTTGCATCACGGCAGAGTTTATAACTTCATGCCACATAATGCGCAGGCTCCTCAGGCTATTGAGGGTATGTTTTCTATACATGGTAGAACTGCTCGTATACTGTTTGACACTGGTACATCACATTCTTTTGTGTCTAGATCTTTTGTTATCTTATCTGGTATGACGACTCAGTTATGTGACCAACCTCTTAATATTTATACACCATTGGGAGTTGGCGCAATTTTACGAGAGTGTAACGGTGATATCCTTATAGATATGGGCCGGCTTCGATTTCTTGCAAATTTGTTAGTGTTAGATATGCATTCGTATGATGTTATACTTGGGATGGACTGGTTATCTCAGTACCATGCTCAGGTTAACTGTTACGAAAAGTCTATTGTATTTGCTATACCAGGACAGGAGATGTATCTTCTTGTTGTACCACAACCTGATAGAGGGCCTAGCACTTATTTATTCGTTCTTGAGGAGGACTCACAGGAAGCGACTGCGGTATCTCTTGACAGCATCCCGGTAGTACAGGAATTCCAGGATGTATTCCAGGAAATTCCAGGCTTGCCACCGAGTCGAGAGATAGACTTCGTTATTGATTTAGCTCCAGGCACTACGCCTATTGCTAAGGCGCCGTACAGAATGGCACCAGTGGAGATGCGAGAGTTGAAAGATCAAATTCAGCAGTTGCTCAGCCAGGGATTTATTCGCAGGAGTACTTCACCATGGGGAGCACCAGTACTGTTTGTAAAGAAGAAGGATGGATCTCTTCGTCTTTGTATTGATTATAGAGAACTGAACAAGGTCACTGTTCGCAACAAGTACCCGTTGCCCAGAATTGATGACCTGTTTGATCAGTTGAAGGGAGCTACTTACTTCTCAAAGATCGATTTGAGGTCTGGTTATCATCAGCTACGAGTCAGAGAACAAGATGTTCCAAAGACAGCATTTCTCACAAGGTACGGATCTTATGAGTTTCGTGTTATGCCTTTCGGTTTAACGAACGCTCCAGCTGTCTTTATGGACTTGATGAATAGAGTATTCAGAGAGTACTTAGATCAGTTTGTCATTGTTTTCATTGATGATATTCTGGTTTACTCTAAGTCGAAGAAGGACCATGCCAGACATTTACGCACAGTGTTGCAGACACTTCGAGAACATCAGTTGTTTGCGAAGTTTGAGAAGTGTGAATTTTGGCAGAAAGAGGTCAAATTTCTGGGTCATGTAGTGTCAGAAGAAGGGTTAACAGTAGATCCAGCCAAGGTTGCGGCCGTTATGGAGTGGGGACAGCCCACCTCATCGACAGAGATTCGCAGTTTTCTGGGATTGGCGGGGTATTATCGCAGGTTCATCCAGGGATTTTCCAAAATTGCGGGTCCACTTACTCATCTGACTAAGAAGAATGTACCATTTGTATGGGATGATTCTTGTCAGACTGCTTTTGCTGAATTGAAGAGTAAGTTAACTTCTGCACCTGTCTTAGCCACACCTCAGAGTGGAATCGAGTATTTAGTATTTACCGACGCTTCTCTGAAGGGTTTGGGTTGTGTGTTGATGCAAGAAGAGCGACCAGTTTCTTATGGGTCTAGGAAGCTTAAGCCTCATGAGCTTAATTACCCGACTCACGATCTAGAGCTCGCAGCAGTAGTTTTTGCCTTGCGTATTTGGAGGCATTATCTTTTGGGGGAGACTTTTCGATTGTTTAGCGATCATAAGAGTCTACAGTATTTGTTCACACAGAGGGAACTGAATATGAGACAGCGCAGATGGTTGGAGTTCGTGAAAGACTATCATTTCTCTATACAGTATCATCCAGGGAAAGCGAATGTTGTAGCAGACGCACTCAGCCGCCGACCCTATGTCAGCCTTTCAACTTTGTTTGCAACAGAGTGGGATGCTTTGAAGACTGTTGATGAGTTAGCAGACGCTTTTATGGCATGTGTGGTAGTAACTCCTTCTATCATTCATCAGGTCATTCAAGCGCAACTCTCAGATCAACAGTGTATTGATCGGGTTTCAGAGTTAGCCTCCGGAGATGTTCCTTTTTATTCTATAGAGACTGATGGAGGATTGAGGTACAAAGGACGTTTAATTGTGCCTTTAGCTAACAATTTGAGAAATGTTGTGATGAGAGAGACACACACTTCTCAGTTCTCTGTACATCCAGGGGGAGACAAGATGTATCAGGACATGAAATGCCAGTTTTGGTGGGCCGGCATGAAGAGAGACATAGCTATCTTTGTCTCTAAATGTAGCACTTGTCAGATGATTAAGATTGATCATCAGAGACCGCCAGGATCGTTACAGCCACTTCCCATACCAGAGTGGAAATGGGAGAGTATTTCCATGGACTTCATAGAGGGATTACCTACTTCACAGCAAAATCACAACTCTATTTGGGTCATTGTTGATAGATTGACCAAGTCCGCTCATTTTCTGCCTGTTCGTTCAAACTTTACGTCAGAACAGTATGCTAAGCTGTATATTGCAGAAATGGTGAAACTTCATGGCGTACCATTGTCCATCGTATCAGATAGAGATCCGAAGTTTGTATCAAGATTTTGGAGGAGCTTTCAGCAGGCTTTGGGTACAGAACTTTATCTTAGCACTGCTTATCATCCTCAAACAGATGGACAGACTGAGCGAGTTAATCAAATTTTAGAAGACATGTTGCGGGCATGTGTTCTTGATTTTAAGGGTAATTGGGAGGAATATTTGCCGCTGTCAGAGTTTGCTTATAACAATAGTTATCAGAAAACTATTGGTATGGCACCATTTGAGGCTTTGTATGGTAGACCGTGTAGGTCTCCTGTCTGTTGGCTTGGAGTTGGTGAGAACAGCTTTTTGGATCCTGAATTTATTAAGGACACGTCAGAAAAGATCGCTATCATTAGGGATCGGATGCGTACAGCTCAAAGCAGACAGAAAAGTTATGCTGACCGTCGAACTCGTGTTTTGGAGTTTAAGGTTGGTGATCAGGTTTTGCTTAAGGCTTCTCCCATGAAGGGAGTAATGCGGTTTGGGTCAAAGGGTAAGTTATCGCCTCGTTTTGTGGGCCCTTTTATGATTACAGATCGGATTGAGGCAGTAGCTTATCGTCTGGCTCTACCAGATAATCTTCATAGGGTACATAATGTTTTTCATGTATCTATGCTGCGAAAATTTCTACGGGACGAAGATCGACATCAACACATTGATGTGGGTGAAATTGAGTTGCAACTCGATGCAACCTATTTGGAACAACCTTACTGTATGCTCGATCGTAGGAATCAGATACTGCGCACGAAGACTATTCCATTAGTACGTGTACAGTGGAGTTATCATAGTGCTACAGAGTCTACTTGGGAACGGGAAGATATTATCCGTGCCAAGTATCCAGAGCTTTTTAATACAGGTATGTAGTGAATTTCGGGAACGAAATTCCTTTATTAGGGGGGGAGAATGTAATACCCCGTAATTTTAAAGAGTGTATTTAAATTAATTTTGTGTTAGGTTAATCCTTTAATGTGTAGATTTATTCACCTTGTAATTATATATGTTAGATTAGTTAATTAATTTTATTTATTCGTGCATGTACTATTGATTTTATGTTTTATATAGTATAATGATTAGTTTTGATATTTTTATTGGTTATGTTTTAGATTAATTATTATTATTTAATTAAAGTATTTAATTTGTATTGAATAAAAATAATAATATAATAATTATATTTATAATTATAATAATTATAATAGTTTATTAATAATAATAATAATAATAATAATAATAATAAATAATAATAGTATTAAATCAATGTAATGATGAAGAAATTAAATCTTAGGATAGGATTTACCTTAGGACATCTTGCTTGACTTGGCTTGCTTGCCTTAAAGCCATATGGTTGGGAATGTGGTTACTTAAATACAAAAAAATAGATATTTGTAATATTTATATTATATAATTTGTATATAAATTAGCTAGCCTACCTTAGAAGGAAGAAAAGGGAGTTAGACACAAATTATAAATTTTAGTAAACCATTGTAAAAGTGTGGAAAGGAAGAGAAAGAAAGAAAGGAGCTTAGACCGGTGTAGGAAAAATTTACCCGACTACGCGCAACCGGCGGATTTATTTTAAATCCAAAAAGGAAAGTTATTATCTACTTTTCCCCTTTGAATTAATAAATTAATTGTTTAGTTTATTTGTATGCATAGAGCCAAGGTTAGTAGATTAATAAATTATAAATTTTATCTTATTAAATTAATGAAATTTTAATTATATAGGATGGTATATATTTATTTAATATCCTATGAAATTAATAATGGCCGAAAATAATTAAATAAGGCTTTAAGGATTTTTCTAGAATTTTCTAAATTTTTCCGGGGCTTTTCTGCAATTTCCGGCGACCTTCCGGCGAGTTTTCCGGTCGCCGGCAATGGGGGAGATGACCGGAGTGATCCGGTGTGATGCGGCGCACCATAGGAGGGTATGCGCGCGCATCTGGACCATTAAACAGCAGCGATTGATCCGGTGCACCGCGGTCCATGTTACCGCGGTACACCCGGATCCGTGAGCGTTGGATGGAGGGAAGGTAGGTGGATTGATCCTGTGTGGCGCGCATGTAGGAAAGATGATGCAGCCAACCAACCGGAGGTCGCCGCGTCAGCAAGGAACCATTAGTGCGCGCGTGGCAGCGCGTGCGCGCGCGACTGATTCCAGACGCGCGTGGGAGCGCGTGCGCGAGCGTGGAACTCTCCAAACGCGTGTGCAAGTGCGTGTGAGCTCGTGGGAGAGTGGGAAAGCTTGGCGGCGCGTGTGGGGAGCTCTGGGAGGCGCGTGGGGGCGCGTGAAGGGCCTCTGCAGCTGCTGGAAAAGTCCAGAATACCCCTAGGGACTGTTTTGTCATTACCAGGACCTTCACTATACATTTTGGGGCCTCGGGTTGGCATTTTTGGAATTAACGAGACATTATATTATTATTTTATTTCTCGTTAACTATTATAATGGTCCGATTAATATTTCTAAATATTAATTGTATCAATTAAAGGGCGAATCGCTAGTAAACGTATGTAATTAAGTTAAACGACTGTAAATGGTATTATTATTTTATTAAACTGTAATAAACCATTAATGTTAAGTTAATTAGTGCTTGATTTCATTCATATAAATGATCCATTATATATTATGGAATAGTTATACTGTTAATCGTATATAAACCATGATTATTATGCTGCGTGCATTTCAGGGAATAAATGGACTGTTTCAATTATGTCGCATTTATATTACATGGATGTGTTGCCATATAGAACCATGTGAGCGGGCTAATAAGTTTAGACTCATTTATACCTTATGCATTCGTTGCTATAGACAGATGTGTGGCTGTCGGGGTATGTGGTTCAATATTATTGGCATGTGTTGCCTAATTGACATGCTCAGTATGTTTAGTAATATTATTGGCATGTGTTGCCTAATTTATATGCTCAGTATATTCATCAGTACTTTGAGAGGTGTTATCACTGTGTAGTTCGTTATAGTCTGTGTTGTCAGTATCGTGCACCATGTATAATAGCTGATTTCCCGGGTAGGGAAAGACGACACTTAACCACCTAGTGTGAGTCTAAGTGATCACCGTCTATTCTGGTTGAGGTCATGTTATACAGTGGATGGTTCCCTTAGGATGTATACAGATATAGTACTCATCCGGATATAAATGATTAATTTATTTGATTCTCTGATTTGGGTCATAGTAGAGAGGACTTGCTCGTGGGGTTGACCCACCATTGTTGTTATTTCAGGATACTGTCAGTACCCGTTCCAAGGTTGAGGTTAGCAGTGAGGGACCACCATCCGAACTCATCTACTCTTACGATCCAGTTCAGGGTAGAAGTTTTATGTATTACTCCAGTTTCAGTTTTTATTTACTTTTGACGTTGAACTCTCAGGGTTATATTTAGGGATCCTTGAAGTTGTAATGGAGTACTGTATTAAATAAAGGATGGATGGATGTTGTATTATTTAGTGTTCCTTTCCTGTCTAAATTCTTTTGTTATCATCATTTTGTATTCCATGCTTGTATATTGCCAATTGTTTTTGATATCCCTCGTTTTTCATGTATAAGCCTGATCAACTTATGCGTGGAAAATGTGGGGGGTGTTACATTTTCATTTGCTAAAATGTTGCCTATAAAAGAAAGATAAAACACATGCACCACGAGATCCACCAGAAAGGTCACAGACATAAAACATCATCATTATTTTTACAGAAACTCCTACATTCATCACTATAATAGTAATTAGTGTAAATTACACTGACGCCACTGAGCTTTGCCCTTATTACACACGGCTGCTATATCTGCGGAAACCAATACATACACCCGCAACGGTTTGGGGAGTGATACCACCCCTCTTCCGTTAACTAGTCATTGGGACTATCACCTGACACCCTGTGAAATGAACTATTCAACCCCCTTGAATTGTTGAAAAGGCCTATTTAGACCTTAGATATATGTTGTAAAATTACCAAAATGCCCTATTAAAAGTTTTCTCAGGACAAATATACCCATTCACTCTTAGGCCAAAGCTTGAAATACAGTAGACAAGCGAAGCCGCGATTGCTTTAGTTTGGCATGAGGAAGAGAAGTGTTGCAGCTATGTTGTACATAGAGAGAGAGAGAGAGAGAGAGAGAGAGAGAGACCAAAGGATTAGTATTTAGATTAGAATGAAAACATATAAAGAAGCAACCAATGTCGTTACCAAATAATATTAACTTCCAAATCAACAATTTATATGAACAACACATCAAATATTTCCTGTCCAAAGAAAGTATTTCATCTTAGAAATTCCAACTCTAGGGAAACAAGCATTCGATGCATTGACACTTCAGTGAAATCCAAAAGCATTTTTCACATTAATTAATCCATTTATATCTATTGAAGATGGGAATTTTGAAATTTTCTTTGTATATTGATTTTCCAAATTGAACATCTATTGTGCCATCCACAAAAGAAATGATGGACCATTTTATTTTATTTTTTTACCTCAGATTCATACTAGAGTGGTAGAGCCACAATGATTTAATAAAACCTCCAACCTAAGCCCAAAGATCCCCTGACTTAGGAGAGGAAGTGTATATATACAAAACATTGTGAGATATCTGCCCAAAACCATCCAAAAGTCAGGTTGGGTTGGGTTTACAATCACACATGCCTAGCCATGCTAAAGGTTCAGAGGGGACCAAATTGAACCTGGCCTAGTTGCAACCATGTGAAAAAAGAAGCCTAATTTACAAATAGAGTTGGTTTTAGTTTTCCTGTGCACTAGCAAATAAAATGAACTGGGACCGTGGCATGGACCAATTCTTAAGATTCCCAGAGCCCCTTAATTCTCTTAACCAAAACTTATCTCATACTGATCAAGAAAACATACATAGGCAAAAGAAAGGCCGGTGTTTATGGCATATGTAGTAGAATTTTCTAAACAGAAGGCCAACAATCTAAACATATGAAAACGGGATGCAATAAACTTTTAAGAAAGGGAAGATTGTAGCAATTGTTTCTCAATTCTAGGTATATAACAACAAATCTGCTGCATGTATCTTCTTTTGGTAGGTAAGATATACACACAGACAAACTAGTTGAACCCTCAACCCACCACGTGGAAGGAGAAGGAGATACTAATTGAGCCGAAGACTCGGAAGTACACAGCTATAATATCATGAAAATTAAAGAAAAAAGCAGAAGAAGCATGACCTTTGGGTTTGTGACAATGACTCCAAATGCACTGAAACTATCATACAGAAGTTTCTCATCCACATCCAGCAAAAAATGTGTGGGAGTCAGTTTCAGAGTTGCAAGAGTTGAACTGTACAGGTATATAGCAGGAGTCTGTAATACATGTATGGATAGGATTGCTTGTCTGTAGTGTGACAGATTTTGGATATACACACACACACACACACACACACACACTTATATTCACACATACATAACATATGTTGAATCAAAGTGGATGTAGGTTTGAGCAAGTAGTTTCAAAAATCTACAATCTTACAGGGTCAAGATTGCCAACAAAAAGGTTGGCTCCAACATCCAAGCTCTTTTTATCTTGGGACGCCTGGAACCAATAAAGAACCAAAAAAATATCATCAGATTTTTGCATTTAACCTATGCAGAGACTACTAAAATGGCGTGTTCAAATCATTAAGAGATCAGAATTAATGCACAAGAAAAATAAACTTCCACACCTTATTCACTCGTATGGGCTTCCCATAAAGTTTAATCATATTTAGAACTTTTATAGCCTGCATTATCAAAGGAAAAAAGATCATTAATCAAAACTAAAGGACTCACAGTAGGATTCATATCCCTAAATTCAACAAATAGACCGAACAACTAAACAAGTAGTTTAGCAAATATGGAAAGAATGGCTATCACCACAAGCAAAACTTACATAGTCGGCATCTTCTTCACTTTGGAATTCAATAAAGCCATATCCTTGATGAAGATTCATGACTCTATCCTTGGGGACATAAACATTAACTGGAAAAGAAAGGAGAAATATGAAAATCACACATTCTAGGAATTTCAAGGGCCTAGAACATTCAAATTCTTTTTCAATAACAATATTACAATTTCAAATTCTTGGGGGGCGTGAGCGTGAACATTGAAATTCTTTTCTAAAAAACATTTTAAGGAGTTGGTTGGTTACATATACACAACTAAGTATAATTTACAAAAATTGAAAGTTATCATAGTATAAACTTTTCAAGAAACAATAAAGCAATTTTTGTGCACAAGAATATGTTTTAGAGAGAATACACTACCATGTCTTCAGATTTCATATAAACAGTAACAATCTTCTTTATGTTCACAATATCTCACACAAAGTGATAATCTACCTCCATACATTTGATTCTCTAAAATACTACTGGATAAAAAGCAATATACATAACAGCTTGATTGTCACAGAACAATATTATGAATTTGCATAAAAATAAAAAAAAAAACCCATCTTAGCAAAGGTAAACAAACCCAAATCATCCAAATATTGCATATGCCATCCCTCTATACCCAGCTTCTACACTTCAATTTACCACTTCATTTTGCTTCTTTCTGTTACACAGAACTAAGTTACTCCAATACTGTGTAACATCCAAAAGCGGACCTCCTATACAACTATTTACAGAGTTAATGAGATTTGTAAGATTCATCTTTTTGTTTTACCATTTAAAGATGAACACTGGCTCACAAACAATGTTTAACATATAAAGGCAAATCTCAATCCAGCACACTGAGATGTTAGCTGTTAACCAACTTAATCCATAAATTTTGTCCCATCAGATATAAAATTTGACAACCAAACCAGTGACTAGCGGCAGAAAAAAATATGACTAAAAGAAATGAAGGATAAATCCTAGCCTAAGTTTGAGGTACGTTACAATTTGAAAAATTAAGGAAAGAGAGGTAGAAGGGAGCAAAGTGCCTGAATGGGGGCCATCTCATGTATATAGTCACTAGGTAGTAAGTATTAATAATAAATAAGGATCCATAGAACATGATGAATGTTAACCTTATTGATGTCCAACAATTTGAAAATACAGCCAAGTTCTCCAAGCATGCTTTATAGCATATCTTTATATGCATTTTAGCATTTTCCTTAAAATTATTAAACTGTGCTTTCAAAATGATGGAGAACTGGAACTTACCAACAGGGCCTGCTTGAACAAACAATTCCCACAGTAACTCTTCAGTTACCTACAGGCAGATAGACAACAAGAATTAGCCACATAAAAGTTAAACCAATCATAGAAAGATTTTTGGGAATCCTTAATGATAAAGCTATCTCATATCCCTTAAAAAAAATCCAACAAAAAAAAATGGAGTATCCTAGTGTTCAAGCAGGGTAAGTGAAAGTGCGGCTACTAGGAGATTAATTGATGCAAAGCGTGAAAACAAGAAAAATACAAACTTGGAAAGAAGTTTAGTTATAATGTAAGTATTATGACAAAAATCCTATGGTACAATGCCCTGGTCACCTTAATCAATTCTGTTACCGGTTAGCCTATAGTTTAAAACTAAATTCCAAAAGAGTTGTTGCTGGGTTTGACCACATTTTTCTTATAGAAATTATGGCACTTTATTTCTAAATTTCCTGCAACCTAACACTTCCAAAATGAAGCCAACTTCAAGCTTTCCTCTTCAAACCATATATATTATTTCTCCTACTTTTTGAATACCTCAACTTCACAAGCTTTTTGATAACCTCTTTGCACAAGAGACCTAATTGTAGATGGTATAATCATAAGTTTACTAGTGGTGTTCTGCATAAAAAATGCACCAAGTGTATGTCAGTGTTGCTTTGTATGAGCAGTGACTCAGTAATATAGCAGCTTCTTTTTTTTTTTTTTTTTTTTTTTTTTTGCGTAATGAGAGCTGTAGAATAGTTTTTATCCATGAAGAAGGCATTCCATTAATGTTTCTGGTGGAGCTGATAGTTGAATTACCCTTATTACAAGAAGCAAGTAACTCGTGCTACACTTGACTACTTGAGCCATTTTACTTCAATTTTTCCTAATTTATTTAGTTCGCTATTATGTAGTTGCACCCCAATACCAAGGTTCAATTGAAATTAAACCTGGCAGAACAATGAAGGTAAAAAAAGAAGAAAAAAGAAAAGAAAAAGAGAGTGTATTAACCATTGTATGCCCTCCTGCTTACACGGGTGATGGGTGGAGAAGATTAAAGAAACCTTTATTTATAATCAAAATTTACGACTACATTTCAGTATACCATACCTTTGATATGAAAAAGGATATCCGGTAATCACAACCACTAGTAACTTATGCAACACAGAATGGCTTTATACTGTCAAGAAACAAAAGCATTGTTTATTAGAAAAATCATATTCTGCACAATATACACCCCCACAAATCGAAGCCAAAACATGGCACACAAAGTGACTGATTCACTCAATACTTTTACTTCTATTAAGTAAGAATGCATAAATCAGAGCCATACGCAAGCAGTTGGAACATTCACACAAATATCAAATCCATGCAAATTCAACAAGCACTCAATTTTAAATTATAACGGGTCCTAAATTTCACTATGAAGCATTCCATATGAACGATTAAGAACTCCAAAAGCACAAAAATATATGAAACATGGCTGACAACGCCAATTTACAACTTCAAATTTCACTAAAAAAAGAAATGGGCATGCAAATAGACTGTAGTTCTTATTTTATCTGAGTTTTGTTTTAGTTGGAAATTGAAAACTACGTTTTCAACATTGGTGTGTTGTATATACATATATACAATCCCTATGATAAAATTGCATGTGAGAAAAAAACTCAAATTTGTAAAAGAAGTTTTATAGAAAGAATAAAAAGAATAGCGAAATGAACTGAGGGAAGAAAAACCTGAGGATCGAGGTTGCCGACGTAGACGGTGGCTTCTTGGTCCCTTTCAGCAGAGTGTTGGCCGAGCAGGTTCGCTCCGACCCCCGGAGCTATTCGAGTCGTCATCGTCTTCTTCTCTCTCGCTCTCCTTCCAGACTCTTCGAGTCCACCTTCTATTTACAAGTATAAATGTACAATAATGAATTAATAATGTTTGTTTTCTTTTCTTTTGTTTTTGGCTTTTTTGTTTTTATTTTTAAGGAAAATAAAAGAAATGATGACATTCTTGAAGAAGAGTTAAAATAAAAGTAATTACTTTAACTAATTTATTATCATATTCATATATATTTTTATAAGGTTAATGCTATTTATATTATTATGAAAGTTTCAAAATTGTAAACCTTTCTCTTTAAATAATTTCACTATAAAAAGGATAGTAAAAATAATTAAATTATCCTTTAAAATCACTCCTTATCCTTTAGGAGTATTTTCTTTTCTCAATTAAAAACAAAATATTAGTTATCCCTTTTTTCTTTTATTTCGTTTGGAATAATACCTTGAGCTTATAAAGATTCTGTCATATCATTTACTAATATGGAAGAATAATGTATTGAATGCAGGAAAAATGATATTTACGCCCGATGGATTTACCCGATTTGTTAGGTAGATTCCTATGTAGCATCTAGCTAGCAAAAAGAATGGGCCCCACTCTCTCTCTCTCTCTCTTCACCCATCTGCGATTTTCGCTCTAGTTTCGATTTTCTCTCTAGAAGACCGGGAATGCCAAATTTGGGGTGTCAAAAATCGATGGCGGTGTCGGCAACGAAACTCTGATCGATTTTTTTTATTATTATTATTCGATTTCTTTTTCCTACTGTTAACCAAGGACTGCTAGTAGGATCCGTGCCGTGTATTAATTATGCAAAAATGTTCCACTCTGCTCAAAACCCATTTGTAAAAAGAAAGCAGATTGGCGACGGAGAGACACAGACGATGGAGAAAACAAGCACCGGCCGACGGTTTATGGTTGCCGACAGTTGAATTCCATCAAGGACGGATTGCTGTGGATGTCGCCGGAGTTGAGTTGACCCGTGCAAATTAGTCAGGCGTGTAATGTATTAGTGTTGGGAATGCGATCCGGAGGATTCCGCCGTTTGATTATCGGAGCTGAAACGCGCCAGAGTTGATGGGTCAGTCAATGAGCTTTGCCATTGAAGAAGCACACTTGGACTGTGTGATTTCCTTGGTTGGTTGTTGTTCGGATGCTCGCCGGACTTGAACTTGAGAACGCAGGAAATGGGTTTGATGAAGCTCTACACTTGGATCGAGTACACTGAAACAGCTTTCTTCATATCAGTTTGTTCTAAGGAGAGAAGATGAATGGACAACGTGTGATGATTTTGATGCCAAATTGAATTAATTTTTTGCCAGATGTATGCCACATGTATTCTGCCTAGTAAGTAGGTCAAACTGTTCTGTCTGAATATCACGACCCTTGAATGCATGGTCAATCCAATGATTATACGCAAACTCACTATATTGTAATTATGCCTATATAATTTAATTGGGTGTGTATTTCTAACCCTTTAGATTCAAAATTGAAAAGAATAGGAGAGAGAAGGGAATGGAGAGGATCCTCTCCATCATTGTTCTATGTACTTGTGAAGTTGGTTGGACTTGGAGTTTGTTTCAGCCGTTGGAGAAACGGGATTCCTGTTAACTGTTGTCCCTACTTTTGCAATGTCATGTTTTAATTTGCTCAACAATTATGAAACCATATTGTTGTGGAATAGAGGAGGAGAATGTTGAACATCTTTTGTTCACATTCTATTGATGTATGGAAATTGTCCCCTTTCAAAATTGATCTCTATGGGCGATTTTAATGCTTTCTTGTGTTTGGTCTTTCTTTTTGTTGGTGGTGCATTTGGAAAGCTCGAAATCGGAGAGCTTTTTGACTACGTCTTCATCTATTGTGAGCAAGGTGACTTCCCAGTTCTAGGCCGATGCATATGCCGTGCCCGACGTGGTGATTGGTAGGTTTCATCTCGACCGCTTGGTGGCAGCTTTGTCATTTTCAAACTGAAGGAGGAGCAGGAGGAGTTTTACTAGATAGCTTGGGCTCAATACCTCTCACAATTTTCTGACATCAAACAAAATTTTACGTCTGCAGTTGCCCAAAGTATCATCTTCCTTATTAATAGGAAAGATTTATGGGCTTATACGGAAGTACAACTCAAGATCCGATAACAATTAGTAACAAAGCCGGACTACAACTATTGCAATCAAGTGCACGACTACTACTATTTCAAGCTCACATTAATTTTCACATTTATGTAAAGAAATACTGAATTTTACTACATTATTGTTCAAAATCGCAACCAAAAAAAAAAACAAAAAACAGAAAGACGAATAGGACCATCAAAAAAATTAAGAAACAGCTAAACTGTTATTAAGAACATAAATCACAATAAATCATCCACAAGAAAGTTTCTCCTAAAGAGACGAGATCACCCAAGAACTGACATCCAGGCAGAGTCAAAGGAGAAAACTTAGCCATCATACTCCCTTTGACTAAACTTGTTCTCGGGATAAAATACAGCTACTACTCGATTCCCGCCAAATTTTATATCATTTAACCCTGTATGAGCTTTCGTGGCACTATCAAGATCTGCATACTCCAAAAACACCTAAAAGAAACAAGAAAATTTTCATTAGCATTTGCAGATCAAATTGTTCCATTAACAAATGAATAGCTAGTATTATGTTTATGCATGAACAAACTTTGAAATAATTTCAGATAGTCTAAGCTATATATAATTTCACCAGAAATTTAAACAATTGTTAGAATATTAAATTTAAAAAAAATATATATATATCCAATCTTCATTCAATACATTAACTATATATTTATCTGGTCAAAATCAACTTGGTATACCAGATACATGTATCTAATTTTAACATTAGAAGCAGACTAAGAGTTCATACTAACCTTTCCAACCCCTGGAGCCGGTTCACCGTTGGGATTTGGGCGTGGGATTACAACGTTCACTAAAGTACCTGCAAATTAAATACAATGAAAATTTGATATGCAAAAAATTTCTCAGAATAAACAGAGAATGAGTATCAGTTGAATATAGATAGAAGGTTATGGAGTCTTCTGTATTGAATGTATGTTAGGCCTGATTCTGTATAGCAGAATGTGGGACTACAATAGGCTGTAAAACAGAAAGATATGAAACTTAGAAAATCAATATGTGTGCAGATTTTCAGGTAAAAGAAGCAAATAAAAGAATAGATGGAACACCAGTTTGCTCAAAGTACTTACCGAATTTTCCACATTCCATTCTCATGTCTTCCACTATGTCTTCATAGTCCTCATCATCTTTGAGCTCATCCTCAGTGACCACTTGGGTTAAGCATAAAACCTTAGTGGCAAGTGAACCAGCTGGTTGTAACATGAGCCTCTGCAAAACAAAATGGTATTAAGAACTAACCAGCAGACCTTAACCAAACAACCAAATAGCATATAGCTAAATAGATAAATATACGAAAATGAATCCTACAGTTGGTTAAGCAAGTTTCAGAGTAAAATGGTGGAGACAAATAAATTCTCACACCTGAATTGCTATTTGTTGCTGTGCATGCAACAGTACACTATCTTGTTCAGGTTTAGGCTGGGTAGCGCCCTGGTTGGCACGCCTCACAGTAAGAGTTTTATCACCCATTTTAATCCCATTTAGAGCTGCACAAGCTATATCCTGGTAAATGCATAGCCTTTCGAGTTTCCTGTTTCTCTATCTTTCACTAAATCAAAGCCCCCGAAGGGGTCCAAACGACTCGAGCAGCTCCCTGGTCTGTGCTTCTGTGAAATAATAGGGGAGCCCACCCACAAAAATACGATCAGGACCCTCAAGCCCGCCAGCGGATCCTGGTGTTAGCCCAACAGCACCTAAGTTCAAACTGGGATTGGGTTGGCTCGGACCAAGTGTAGCAGCCAAAGAGGGATTGTAATCACTGGGCCTCCTGACCTTAACTGGTGCTCCCTGTACATATGAAAATTAAAGACAAACAGACAGTACAATGTACAAAGAATTGCAATTCCCATTAAAAATATTCACACAAGCAAAAAATCTATAAAGAACTAGTAATTAGATTTTTTAAAAAAAAGGTAAATAACTTAGCAAAATTTGTAAAATAAAAAATGACATGCATAGGGTTACTACCAGCAAAAAAATCTAGATATCTTGCAAGATAAAAAATAAATAAAAAGATTTCAGCACATGCAGAAGGCTTTTCCTATTTCTAACTGTGTCAAAATGATATCATACTTGAGATGCCAAAAAATGATAGGGAAAGGAAACTCAAGAAAAATAGCCCCCAAATACCTCAAAGATAATGCCATCTAGGGCAATGGCATTACTGGCTTCCTCAACAGATCTCATCTCCACAAAAGCAAATTTCTTCTCGTGGCTTATATAGACATTGACAACAGCATCCCCTGAATATTATAAAGGAGAGTATTACTACTGTCGATGAGAGGACCAGATTGACGTATGCTGAATTTCAGACTCGCTTTGATGACAAGTATTTTCCTATGTCAGTAAGATCAGCGATGAAGACTGAATTTCTGGATCTGCAACAGGAGGATATGACGGTGGCTGAGTATGAACAGAAGTTCATTAATTTGTCATTATTTGCACCAGAGGAGGTCAATACGGAAGAAAAGAAGAGAGACCGCTTTGTGAAGGGTTTGATATGGCCGATTAAAGTGGTGATCATAGGTAGTCCTGCATATACTACTTATATCCAGGTGGTTAATGCCGCCTTACAGCACTGCCAGATGAGGAGTGATTACCGGAAGTCTAAGGGAGATAAGCGGGCTAACCGAGACTACCAGACAGTGGAGAAAGGAAGCAGCAGTGGTACAAAGTCCAATGATCGGGGCAGATTTCAAGGACATCAACCTTGGAAGAAAAACAAAGGAAACCCAGATGTGCAGAGGGATGGAGTCCCTAATCAGGGTAGACAAGGTGGGGTACCTTAGACCGGACAGGAACAGTGGTCGGGAAATCAACAGAGAAGGCAGACAGGTCCTTTTACGGGACGTTGTTATCACTGTAGAGAAATTGGGCATCCGGCCAAGATGTGTCCCAAAGCTAAGCAGGGACAGTATGGGCAGCCGAGACCTAACCAGCCATTACCTCTACCGGCCCTACCGATGCCACGTGGGCAAGTTCAGAATTTTCCGGCACTTCCAGCACCACCATTTCCTCCGGGACAACCTCCACAGCAGTTGCATCACGGCAGAGTTTATAACTTCATGCCACATAATGCGCAGGCTCCTCAGGCTATTGAGGGTATGTTTTCTATACATGGTAGAACTGCTCGTATACTGTTTGACACTGGTACATCACATTCTTTTGTGTCTAGATCTTTTGTTATCTTATCTGGTATGACGACTCAGTTATGTGACCAACCTCTTAATATTTATACACCATTGGGAGTTGGCGCAATTTTACGAGAGTGTAGCGGTGATATCCTTATAGATATGGGCCGGCTTCGATTTCTTGCAAATTTGTTAGTGTTAGATATGCATTCGTATGATGTTATACTTGGGATGGACTGGTTATCTCAGTACCATGCTCAGGTTAACTGTTACGAAAAGTCTATTGTATTTGCTATACCAGGACAGGAGATGTATCTTCTTGTTGTACCACAACCTGATAGAGGGCCTAGCACTTATTTATTCGTTCTTGAGGAGGACTCACAGGAAGCGACTGCGGTATCTCTTGACAGCATCCCGGTAGTACAGGAATTCCAGGATGTATTCCAGGAAATTCCAGGCTTGCCACCGAGTCGAGAGATAGACTTCGTTATTGATTTAGCTCCAGGCACTACGCCTATTGCTAAGGCGCCGTACAGAATGGCACCAGTGGAGATGCGAGAGTTGAAAGATCAAATTCAGCAGTTGCTCAGCCAGGGATTTATTCGCAGGAGTACTTCACCATGGGGAGCACCAGTACTGTTTGTAAAGAAGAAGGATGGATCTCTTCGTCTTTGTATTGATTATAGAGAACTGAACAAGGTCACTGTTCGCAACAAGTACCCGTTGCCCAGAATTAATGACCTGTTTGATCAGTTGAAGGGAGCTACTTACTTCTCAAAGATCGATTTGAGGTCTGGTTATCATCAGCTACGAGTCAGAGAACAAGATGTTCCAAAGACAGCATTTCTCACAAGGTACGGATCTTATGAGTTTCGTGTTATGCCTTTCGGTTTAACGAACGCTCCAGCTGTCTTTATGGACTTGATGAATAGAGTATTCAGAGAGTACTTAGATCAGTTTGTCATTGTTTTCATTGATGATATTCTGGTTTACTCTAAGTCGGAGAAGGACCATGCCAGACATTTACGCACAGTGTTGCAGACACTTCGAGAACATCAGTTGTTTACGAAGTTTGAGAAGTGTGAATTTTGGCAGAAAGAGGTCAAATTTCTGGGTCATGTAGTGTCAGAAGAAGGGTTAACAGTAGATCCAGCCAAGGTTGCGGCCGTTATGGAGTGGGGACAGCCCACCTCATCGACAGAGATTCGCAGTTTTCTGGGATTGGCGGGGTATTATCGCAGGTTCATCCAGGGATTTTCCAAAATTGCGGGTCCACTTACTCATCTGACTAAGAAGAATGTACCATTTGTATGGGATGATTCTTGTCAGACTGCTTTTGCTGAATTGAAGAGTAAGTTAACTTCTGCACCTGTCTTAGCCACACCTCAGAGTGGAATCGAGTATTTAGTATTTACCGACGCTTCTCTGAAGGGTTTGGGTTGTGTGTTGATGCAAGAAGAGCGACCAGTTTCTTATGGGTCTAGGAAGCTTAAGCCTCATGAGCTTAATTACCCGACTCACGATCTAGAGCTCGCAGCAGTAGTTTTTGCCTTGCGTATTTGGAGGCATTATCTTTTGGGGGAGACTTTTCGATTGTTTAGCGATCATAAGAGTCTACAGTATTTGTTCACACAGAGGGAACTGAATATGAGACAGCGCAGATGGTTGGAGTTCGTGAAAGACTATCATTTCTCTATACAGTATCATCCAGGGAAAGCGAATGTTGTAGCAGACGCACTCAGCCGCCGACCCTATGTCAGCCTTTCAACTTTGTTTGCAACAGAGTGGGATGCTTTGAAGACTGTTGATGAGTTAGCAGACGCTTTTATGGCATGTGTGGTAGTAACTCCTTCTATCATTCATCAGGTCATTCAAGCGCAACTCTCAGATCAACAGTGTATTGATCGGGTTTCAGAGTTAGCCTCCGGAGATGTTCCTTTTTATTCTATAGAGACTGATGGAGGATTGAGGTACAAAGGACGTTTAATTGTGCCTTTAGCTAACAATTTGAGAAATGTTGTGATGAGAGAGACACACACTTCTCAGTTCTCTGTACATCCAGGGGGAGACAAGATGTATCAGGACATGAAACGCCAGTTTTGGTGGGCCGGCATGAAGAGAGACATAGCTATCTTTGTCTCTAAATGTAGCACTTGTCAGATGATTAAGATTGATCATCAGAGACCGCCAGGATCGTTACAGCCACTTCCCATACCAGAGTGGAAATGGGAGAGTATTTCCATGGACTTCATAAAGGGATTACCTACTTCACAGCAAAATCACAACTCTATTTGGGTCATTGTTGATAGATTGACCAAGTCCGCTCATTTTCTGCCTGTTCGTTCAAACTTTACGTCAGAACAGTATGCTAAGCTGTATATTGCAGAAATGGTGAAACTTCATGGCGTACCATTGTCCATCGTATCAGATAGAGATCCGAAGTTTGTATCAAGATTTTGGAGGAGCTTTCAGCAGGCTTTGGGTACAGAACTTTATCTTAGCACTGCTTATCATCCTCAAACAGATGGACAGACTGAGCGAGTTAATCAGATTTTAGAAGACATGTTGCGGGCATGTGTTCTTGATTTTAAGGGTAATTGGGAGGAATATTTGCCGCTGTCAGAGTTTGCTTATAACAATAGTTATCAGAAAACTATTGGTATGGCACCATTTGAGGCTTTGTATGGTAGACCGTGTAGGTCTCCTGTCTGTTGGCTTGGAGTTGGTGAGAACAGCTTTTTGGGTCCTGAATTTATTAAGGACACGTCAGAAAAGATCGCTATCATTAGGGATCGGATGCGTACAGCTCAAAGCAGACAGAAAAGTTATGCTGACCGTCGAACTCGTGTTTTGGAGTTTAAGGTTGGTGATCAGGTTTTGCTTAAGGCTTCTCCCATGAAGGGAGTAATGCGGTTTGGGTCAAAGGGTAAGTTATCGCCTCGTTTTGTGGGCCCTTTTATGATTACAGATCGGATTGGGGCAGTAGCTTATCGTCTGGCTCTACCAGATAATCTTCATAGGGTACATAATGTTTTTCATGTATCTATGCTGCGAAAATTTCTACGGGACGAAGATCGACATCAACACATTGATGTGGGTGAAATTGAGTTGCAACTCGATGCAACCTATTTGGAACAACCTTACTGTATGCTCGATCGTAGGAATCAGATACTGCGCACGAAGACTATTCCATTAGTACGTGTACAGTGGAGTTATCATAGTGCTACAGAGTCTACTTGGGAACGGGAAGATATTATCCGTGCCAGGTATCCAGAGCTTTTTAATACAGGTATGTAGTGAATTTCGGGAACGAAATTCCTTTATTAGGGGGGGAGAATGTAATACCCCGTAATTTTAAAGAGTGTATTTAAATTAATTTTGTGTTAGGTTAATCCTTTAATGTGTAGATTTATTCACCTTGTAATTATATATGTTAGATTAGTTAATTAATTTTATTTATTCGTGCATGTACTATTGATTTTATGTTTTATATAGTATAATGATTAGTTTTGATATTTTTATTGGTTATGTTTTAGATTAATTATTATTATTTAATTAAAGTATTTAATTTGTATTGAATAAAAATAATAATATAATAATTATATTTATAATTATAATAATTATAATAGTTTATTAATAATAATAATAATAATAATAATTATAATAAATAATAATAGTATTAAATCAATGTAATGATGAAGAAATTAAATCTTAGGATAGGATTTACCTTAGGACATCTTGCTTGACTTGGCTTGCTTGCCTTAAAGCCATATGGTTGGGAATGTGGTTACTTAAATACAAAAAAATAGATATTTGTAATATTTATATTATATAATTTGTATATAAATTAGCTAGCCTACCTTAGAAGGAAGAAAAGGGAGTTAGACACAAATTATAAATTTTAGTAAACCATTGTAAAAGTGTGGAAAGGAAGAGAAAGAAAGAAAGGAGCTTAGACCGGTGTAGGAAAAATTTACCCGACTACGCGCAACCGGCGGATTTATTTTAAATCCAAAAAGGAAAGTTATTATCTACTTTTCCCCTTTGAATTAATAAATTAATTGTTTAGTTTATTTGTATGCATAGAGCCAAGGTTAGTAGATTAATAAATTATAAATTTTATCTTATTAAATTAATGAAATTTTAATTATATAGGATGGTATATATTTATTTAATATCCTATGAAATTAATAATGGCCGAAAATAATTAAATAAGGCTTTAAGGATTTTTCTAGAATTTTCTAAATTTTTCCGGGGCTTTTCTGCAATTTCCGGCGACCTTCCGGCGAGTTTTCCGGTCGCCGACAATGGGGGAGATGACCGGAGTGATCCGGTGTGATGCGGCGCACCATAGGAGGGTATGCGCGCGCATCTGGACCATTAAACAGCAGCGATTGATCCGGTGCACCGCGGTCCATGTTACCGCGGTACACCCGGATCCGTGAGCGTTGGATGGAGGGAAGGTAGGTGGATTGATCCTGTGTGGCGCGCATGTAGGAAAGATGATGCAGCCAACCAACCGGAGGTCGCCGCGTCAGCAAGGAACCATTAGTGCGCGCGTGGCAGCGCGTGCGCGCGCGTGACTGATTCCAGACGCGCGTGGGAGCGCGTGCGCGAGCATGGAACTCTCCAAACGCGCGTGCAAGTGCGTGTGAGCTCGTGGGAGAGTGGGAAAGCTTGGCGGCGCGTGTGGGGAGCTCTGGGAGGCGCGTGGGGGCGCGTGAAGGGCCTCTGCAGCTGCTGGAAAAGTCCAGAATACCCCTAGGGACTGTTTTGTCATTACCAGGACCTTCACTATACATTTTGGGGCCTCGGGTTGGCATTTTTGGAATTAACGAGACATTATATTATTATTTTATTTCTCGTTAACTATTATAATGGTCCGATTAATATTTCTAAATATTAATTGTATCAATTAAAGGGCGAATCGCTAGTAAACGTATGTAATTAAGTTAAACGACTGTAAATGGTATTATTATTTTATTAAACTGTAATAAACCATTAATGTTAAGTTAATTAGTGCTTGATTTCATTCATATAAATGATCCATTATATATTATGGAATAGTTATACTGTTAATCGTATATAAACCATGATTATTATGCTGCGTGCATTTCAGGGAATAAATGGACTGTTTCAATTATGTCGCATTTATATTACATGGATGTGTTGCCATATAGAACCATGTGAGCGGGCTAATAAGTTTAGACTCATTTATACCTTATGCATTCGTTGCTATAGACAGATGTGTGGCTGTCGGGGTATGTGGTTCAATATTATTGGCATGTGTTGCCTAATTGACATGCTCAGTATGTTTAGTAATATTATTGGCATGTGTTGCCTAATTTATATGCTCAGTATATTCATCAGTACTTTGAGAGGTGTTATCACTGTGTAGTTCGTTATAGTCTGTGTTGTCAGTATCGTGCACCATGTATAATAGCTGATTTCCCGGGTAGGGAAAGACGACACTTAACCACCTAGTGTGAGTCTAAGTGATCACCGTCTATTCTGGTTGAGGTCATGTTATACAGTGGATGGTTCCCTTAGGATGTATACAGATATAGTACTCATCCGGATATAAATGATTAATTTATTTGATTCTCTGATTTGGGTCATAGTAGAGAGGACTTGCTCGTGGGGTTGACCCACCATTGTTGTTATTTCAGGATACTGTCAGTACCCGTTCCAAGGTTGAGGTTAGCAGTGAGGGACCACCATCCGAACTCATCTACTCTTACGATCCAGTTCAGGGTAGAAGTTTTATGTATTACTCCAGTTTCAGTTTTTATTTACTTTTGACGTTGAACTCTCAGGGTTATATTTAGGGATCCTTGAAGTTGTAATGGAGTACTGTATTAAATAAAGGATGGATGGATGTTGTATTATTTAGTGTTCCTTTCCTGTCTAAATTCTTTTGTTATCATCATTTTGTATTCCATGCTTGTATATTGCCAATTGTTTTTGATATCCCTCGTTTTTCATGTATAAGCCTGATCAATTTATGCGTGGAAAATGTGGGGGGTGTTACATTTTCATTTGCTAAAATGTTGCCTATAAAAGAAAGATAAAACACATGCACCACGAGATCCACCAGAAAGGTCACAGACATAAAACATCATCATTATTTTTACAGAAACTCCTACATTCATCACTATAATAGTAATTAGTGTAAATTACACTGACGCCACTGAGCTTTGCCCTTATTACACACGGCTGCTATATCTGCGGAAACCAATACATACACCCGCAACGGTTTGGGGAGTGATACCACCCCTCTTCCGTTAACTAGTTATTGGGACTATCACCTGACACCCTGTGAAATGAACTATTCAACCCCCTTGAATTGTTGAAAAGGCCTATTTAGACCTTAGATATATGTTGTAAAATTACCAAAATGCCCTATTAAAAGTTTTCTCAGGACAAATATACCCATTCACTCTTAGGCCAAAGCTTGAAATACAGTAGACAAGCGAAGCCGCGATTGCTTTAGTTTGGCATGAGGAGGAGAAGTGTTGCAGCTATGTTGTACATAGAGAGAGAGAGAGAGAGAGAGAGAGAGAGAGAGACCAAAGGATTAGTATTTAGATTAGAATGAAAACATATAAAGAAGCAACCAATGTCGTTACCAAATAATATTAACTTCCAAATCAACAATTTATATGAACAACACATCAAATATTTCCTGTCCAAAGAAAGTATTTCATCTTAGAAATTCCAACTCTAGGGAAACAAGCATTCGATGCATTGACACTTCAGTGAAATCCAAAAGCATTTTTCACATTAATTAATCCATTTATATCTATTGAAGATGGGAATTTTGAAATTTTCTTTGTATATTGATTTTCCAAATTGAACATCTATTGTGCCATCCACAAAAGAAATGATGGACCATTTTATTTTATTTTTTTACCTCAGATTCATACTAGAGTGGTAGAGCCACAATGATTTAATAAAACCTCCAACCTAAGCCCAAAGATCCCCTGACTTAGGAGAGGAAGTGTATATATACAAAACATTGTGAGATATCTGCCCAAAACCATCCAAAAGTCAGGTTGGGTTGGGTTTACAATCACACATGCCTAGCCATGCTAAAGGTTCAGAGGGGACCAAATTGAACCTGGCCTAGTTGCAACCATGTGAAAAAAGAAGCCTAATTTACAAATAGAGTTGGTTTTAGTTTTCCTGTGCACTAGCAAATAAAATGAACTGGGACCGTGGCATGGACCAATTCTTAAGATTCCCAGAGCCCCTTAATTCTCTTAACCAAAAATTATCTCATACTGATCAAGAAAACATACATAGGCAAAAGAAAGGCCGGTGTTTATGGCATATGTAGTAGAATTTTCTAAACAGAAGGCCAACAATCTAAACATATGAAAACAGGATGCAATAAACTTTTAAGAAAGGGAAGATTGTAGCAATTGTTTCTCAATTCTAGGTATATAACAACAAATCTGCTGCATGTATCTTCTTTTGGTAGGTAAGATATACACACAGACAAACTAGTTGAACCCTCAACCCACCACGTGGAAGGAGAAGGAGATACTAATTGAGCCGAAGACTCGGAAGTACACAGCTATAATATCATGAAAATTAAAGAAAAAAGCAGATGAAGCATGACCTTTGGGTTTGTGACAATGACTCCAAATGCACTGAAACTATCATACAGAAGTTTCTCATCCACATCCTGCACAAAATGTGTGGGAGTCAGTTTCAGAGTTGCAAGAGTTGAACTGTACAGGTATATAGCAGGAGTCTGTAATACATGTATGGATAGGATTGCTTGTCTGTAGTGTGACAGATTTTGGATATATACACACACACACACACACACACACACACTTATATACACACATACATAACATATGTTGAATCAAAGTGGATGTAGGTTTGAGCAAGTAGTTTCAAAAATCTACAATCTTACAGGGTCAAGATTGCCAACAAAAAGGTTGGCTCCAACAGCCAAGCTCTTTTTATCTTGGGACGCCTGGAACCAATAAAGAACCAAAAAAATATCATCAGATTTTTGCATTTAACCTATGCAGAGACTACTAAAATGGCGTGTTCAAATCATTAAGAGATCAGAATTAATGCACAAGAAAAATAAACTTCCACACCTTATTCACTCGTATGGGCTTCCCATAAAGTTTAATCATATTTAGAACTTTTATAGCCTGCATTATCAAAGGAAAAAAGATCATTAATCAAAACTAAAGGACTCACAGTAGGATTCATATCCCTAAATTCAACAAATAGACCGAACAACTAAACAAGTAGTTTAGCAAATATGGAAAGAATGGCTATCACCACAAGCAAAACTTACATAGTCGGCATCTTCTTCACTTTGGAATTCAATAAAGCCATATCCTTGATGAAGATTCATGACTCTATCCTTGGGGACATAAACATTAACTGGAAAAGAAAGGAGAAATATGAAAATCACACATTCTAGGAATTTCAAGGGCCTAGAACATTCAAATTCTTTTTCAATAACAATATTACAATTTCAAATTCTTGGGGGGCGTGAGCGTGAACATTGAAATTCTTTTCTAAAAAACATTTTAAGGAGTTGGTTGGTTACATATACACAACTAAGTGTAATTTACAAAAATTGAAAGTTATCATAGTATAAACTTTTCAAGAAACAATAAAGCAATTTTTGTGCACAAGAATATGTTTTAGAGAGAATACACTACCATGTCTTCAGATTTCATATAAACAGTAACAATCTTCTTTATGTTCACAATATCTCACACAAAGTGATAATCTACCTCCATACATTTGATTCTCTAAAATACTACTGGATAAAAAGCAATATACATAACAGCTTGATTGTCACAGAACAATATTATGAATTTGCATAAAAATAAAAAAAAAACCCATCTTAGCAAAGGTAAACAAACCCAAATCATCCAAATATTGCATATGCCATCCCTCTATACCCAGCTTCTACACTTCAATTTACCACTTCATTTTGCTTCTTTCTGTTACACAGAACTAAGTTACTCCAATACTGTGTAACATCCAAAAGCGGACCTCCTATACAACTATTTACAGAGTTAATGAGATTTGTAAGATTCATCTTTTTGTTTTACCATTTAAAGATGAACACTGGCTCACAAACAATGTTTAACATATAAAGGCAAATCTCAATCCAGCACACTGAGATGTTAGCTGTTAACCAACTTAATCCATAAATTTTGTCCCATCAGATATAAAATTTGACAACCAAACCAGTGACTAGCGGCAGAAAAAAATATGACTAAAAGAAATGAAGGATAAATCCTAGCCTAAGTTTGAGGTACGTTACAATTTGAAAAATTAAGGAAAGAGAGGTAGAAGGGAGCAAAGTGCCTGAATGGGGGCCATCTCATGTATATAGTCACTAGGTAGTAAGTATTAATAATAAATAAGGATCCATAGAACATGATGAATGTTAACCTTATTGATGTCCAACAATTTGAAAATACAGCCAAGTTCTCCAAGCATGCTTTATAGCATATCTTTATATGCATTTTAGCATTTTCCTTAAAATTATTAAACTGTGCTTTCAAAATGATGGAGAACTGGAACTTACCAACAGGGCCTGCTTGAACAAACAATTCCCACAGTAACTCTTCAGTTACCTACAGGCAGATAGACAACAAGAATTAGCCACATAAAAGTTAAACCAATCATAGAAAGATTTTTGGGAATCCTTAATGATAAAGCTATCTCATATCCCTTAAAAAAAATCCAACAAAAAAAAATGGAGTATCCTAGTGTTCAAGCAGGGTAAGTGAAAGTGCGGCTACTAGGAGATTAATTGATGCAAAGCGTGAAAAATACAAACTTGGAAAGAAGTTTAGTTATAATGTAAGTATTATGACAAAAATCCTATGGTACAATGCCCTGGTCACCTTAATCAATTCTGTTACCGGTTAGCCTATAGTTTAAAACTAAATTCCAAAAGAGTTGTTGCTGGGTTTGACCACATTTTTCTTATAGAAATTATGGCACTTTATTTCTAAATTTCCTGCAACCTAACACTTCCAAAATGAAGCCAACTTCAAGCTTTCCTCTTCAAACCATATATATTATTTCTCCTACTTTTTAAATACCTCAACTTCACAAGCTTTTTGATAACCTCTTTGCACAAGAGACCTAATTGTAGATGGTATAATCATAAGTTTACTAGTGGTGTTCTGCATAAAAAATGCACCAAGTGTATGTCAGTGTTGCTTTGTATGAGCAGTGACTCAGTAATATAGCAGCTTCTTTTTTTTTTTTTTTTTTTTTTTTTTTTTGCGTAATGAGAGCTGTAGAATAGTTTTTATCCATGAAGAAGGCATTCCATTAATGTTTCTGGTGGAGCTGATAGTTGAATTACCCTTATTACAAGAAGCAAGTAACTCGTGCTACACTTGACTACTTGAGCCATTTTACTTCAATTTTTCCTAATTTATTTAGTTCGCTATTATGTAGTTGCACCCCAATACCAGGGTTCAATTGAAATTAAACCTGGCAGAACAATGAAGGTAAAAAAAGAAGAAAAAAGAAAAGAAAAAGAGAGTGTATTAACCATTGTATGCCCTCCTGCTTACACGGGTGATGGGTGGAGAAGATTAAAGAAACCTTTATTTATAATCAAAATTTACGACTACATTTCAGTATACCATACCTTTGATATGAAAAAGGATATCCGGTAATCACAACCACTAGTAACTTATGCAACACAGAATGGCTTTATACTGTCAAGAAACAAAAGCATTGTTTATTAGAAAAATCATATTCTGCACAATATACACCCCCACAAATCGAAGCCAAAACATGGCACACAAAGTGACTGATTCACTCAATACTTTTATTTCTATTAAGTAAGAATGCATAAATCAGAGCCATACGCAAGCAGTTGGAACATTCACACAAATATCAAATCCATGCAAATTCAACAAGCACTCAATTTTAAATTATAACGGGTCCTAAATTTCACTATGAAGCATTCCATATGAACGATTAAGAACTCCAAAAGCACAAAAATATATGAAACATGGCTGACAACGCCAATTTACAACTTCAAATTTCACTAAAAAAAGAAATGGGCATGCAAATAGACTGTAGTTCTTATTTTATCTGAGTTTTGTTTTAGTTGGAAATTGAAAACTACGTTTTCAACATTGGTGTGTTGTATATACATATATACAATCCCTATGATAAAATTGCATGTGAGAAAAAAACTCAAATTTGTAAAAGAAGTTTTATAGAAAGAATAAAAAGAATAGCGAAATGAACTGAGGGAGGAAAAACCTGAGGATCGAGGTTGCCGACGTAGACGGTGGCTTCTTGGTCCCTTTCAGCAGAGTGTTGGCCGAGCAGGTTCGCTCCGACCCCCGGAGCTATTCGAGTCGTCATCGTCTTCTTCTCTCTCGCTCTCCTTCCAGACTCTTCGAGTCCACCTTCTATTTACAAGTATAAATGTACAATAATGAATTAATAATGTTTGTTTTCTTTTCTTTTGTTTTTGGCTTTTTTGTTTTTATTTTTAAGGAAAATAAAAGAAATGATGACATTCTTGAAGAAGAGTTAAAATAAAAGTAATTACTTTAACTAATTTATTATCATATTCATATATATTTTTATAAGGTTAATGCTATTTATATTATTATGAAAGTTTCAAAATTGTAAACCTTTCTCTTTAAATAATTTCACTATAAAAAGGATAGTAAAAATAATTAAATTATCCTTTAAAATCACTCCTTATCCTTTAGGAGTATTTTCTTTTCTCAATTAAAAACAAAATATTAGTTATCCCTTTTTTCTTTTATTTCGTTTGGAATAATACCTTGAGCTTATAAAGATTCTGTCATATCATTTACTAATATGGAAGAATAATGTATTGAATGCAGGAAAAATGATATTTACGCCCGATGGATTTACCCGATTTGTTAGGTAGATTCCTATGTAGCATCTAGCTAGCAAAAAGAATGGGCCCCAGTCTCTCTCTCTCTCTTCACCCATCTGCGATTTTCGCTCTAGTTTCGATTTTCTCTCTAGAAGACCGGGAATGCCAAATTTGGGGTGTCAAAAATCGATGGCGGTGTCGGCAACGAAACTCTGATCGATTTTTTTTATTATTATTATTCGATTTCTTTTTCCTACTGTTAACCAAGGACTGCTAGTAGGATCCGTGCCGTGTATTAATTATGCAAAAATGTTCCACTCTGCTCAAAACCCATTTGTAAAAAGAAAGCAGATTGGCGACGGAGAGACACAGACGATGGAGAAAACAAGCACCGGCCGACGGTTTATGGTTGCCGACAGTTGAATTCCATCAAGGACGGATTGCTGTGGATGTCGCCGGAGTTGAGTTGACCCGTGCAAATTAGTCAGGCGTGTAATGTATTAGTGTTGGGAATGCGATCCGGAGGATTCCGCCGTTTGATTATCGGAGCTGAAACGCGCCAGAGTTGATGGGTCAGTCAATGAGCTTTGCCATTGAAGAAGCACACTTGGACTGTGTGATTTCCTTGGTTGGTTGTTGTTCGGATGCTCGCCGGACTTGAACTTGAGAACGCAGGAAATGGGTTTGATGAAGCTCTGCACTTGGATCGAGTACACTGAAACAGCTTTCTTCATATCAGTTTGTTCCAAGGAGAGAAGATGAATGGACAACGTGTGATGATTTTGATGCCAAATTGAATTAATTTTTTGCCAGATGTATGCCACATGTATTCTGTCTAGTAAGTAGGTCAAACTGTTCTGTCTGAATATCACGACCCTTGAATGCATGGTCAATCCAATGATAAAAATATGTATTATACGCAAACTCACTATATTGTAATTATGCCTATATAATTTAATTGGGTGTGTATTTCTAACCCTTTAGATTCAAAATTGAAAAGAATAGGAGAGAGAAGGGAATGGAGAGGATCCTCTCCATCATTGTTCTATGTACTTGTGAAGTTGGTTGGACTTGGAGTTTGTTTCAGCCGTTGGAGAAACGGGATTCCTGTTAACTGTTGTCCCTACTTTTGCAATGTCATGTTTTAATTTGCTCAACAATTATGAAACCATATTGTTGTGGAATAGAGGAGGAGAATGTTGAACATCTTTTGTTCACATTCTATTGATGTATGGAAATTGTCCCCTTTCAAAATTGATCTCTATGGGCGATTTTAATGCTTTCTTGTGTTTGGTCTTTCTTTTTGTTGGTGGTGCATTTGGAAAGCTCGAAATCGGAGAGCTTTTTGACTACGTCTTCATCTATTGTGAGCAAGGTGACTTCCCAGTTCTAGGCCGATGCATATGCCGTGCCCGACGTGGTGATTGGTAGGTTTCATCTCGACCGCTTGGTGGCAGCTTTGTCATTTTCAAACTGAAGGAGGAGCAGGAGGAGTTTTACTAGATAGCTTGGGCTCAATACCTCTCACAATTTTCTGACATCAAACAAAATTTTACGTCTGCAGTTGCCCAAAGTATCATCTTCCTTATTAATAGGAAAGATTTATGGGCTTATACGGAAGTACAACTCAAGATCCGATAACAATTAGTAACAAAGCCGGACTACAACTATTGCAATCAAGTGCACGACTACTACTATTTCAAGCTCACATTAATTTTCACATTTATGTAAAGAAATACTGAATTTTACTACATTATTGTTCAAAATCGCAACCAAAAAAAAACAGAAAGACGAATAGGACCATCAAAAAAATTAAGAAACAGCTAAACTGTTATTAAGAACATAAATCACAATAAATCATCCACAAGAAAGTTTCTCCTAAAGAGACGAGATCACCCAAGGAACTGACATCCAGGCAGAGTCAAAGGAGAAAACTTAGCCATCATACTCCCTTTGACTAAACTTGTTCTCGGGATAAAATACAGCTACTACTCGATTCCCGCCAAATTTTATATCATTTAACCCTGTATGAGCTTTCGTGGCACTATCAAGATCTGCATACTCCAAAAACACCTAAAAGAAACAAGAAAATTTTCATTAGCATTTGCAGATCAAATTGTTCCATTAACAAATGAATAGCTAGTATTATGTTTATGCATGAACAAACTTTGAAATAATTTCAGATAGTCTAAGCTATATATAATTTCACCAGAAATTTAAACAATTGTTAGAATATTAAATTTAAAAAAAATATATATATATCCAATCTTCATTCAATACATTAACTATATATTTATCTGGTCAAAATCAACTTGGTATACCAGATACATGTATCTAATTTTAACATTAGAAGCAGACTAAGAGTTCATACTAACCTTTCCAACCCCTGGAGCCGGTTCACCGTTGGGATTTGGGCGTGGGATTACAACGTTCACTAAAGTACCTGCAAATTAAATACAATGAAAATTTGATATGCAAAAAATTTCTCAGAATAAACAGAGAATGAGTATCAGTTGAATATAGATAGAAGGTTATGGAGTCTTCTGTATTGAATGTATGTTAGGCCTGATTCTGTATAGCAGAATGTGGGACTACAATAGGCTGTAAAACAGAAAGATATGAAACTTAGAAAATCAATATGTGTGCAGATTTTCAGGTAAAAGAAGCAAATAAAAGAATAGATGGAACACCAGTTTGCTCAAAGTACTTACCGAATTTTCCACATTCCATTCTCATGTCTTCCACTATGTCTTCATAGTCCTCATCATCTTTGAGCTCATCCTCAGTGACCACTTGGGTTAAGCATAAAACCTTAGTGGCAAGTGAACCAGCTGGTTGTAACATGAGCCTCTGCAAAACAAAATGGTATTAAGAACTAACCAGCAGACCTTAACCAAACAACCAAATAGCATATAGCTAAATAGATAAATATACGAAAATGAATCCTACAGTTGGTTAAGCAAGTTTCAGAGTAAAATGGTGGAGACAAATAAATTCTCACACCTGAATTGCTATTTGTTGCTGTGCATGCAACAGTACACTATCTTGTTCAGGTTTAGGCTGGGTAGCGCCCTGGTTGGCACGCCTCACAGTAAGAGTTTTATCACCCATTTTAATCCCATTTAGAGCTGCACAAGCTATATCCTGGTAAATGCATAGCCTTTCGAGTTTCCTGTTTCTCTATCTTTCACTAAATCAAAGCCCCCGAAGGGGCCCAAACGACTCGAGCAGCTCCCTGGTCTGTGCTTCTGTGAAATAATAGGGGAGCCCACCCACAAAAATACGATCAGGACCCTCAAGCCCGCCAGCGGATCCTGGTGTTAGCCCAACAGCACCTAAGTTCAAACTGGGATTGGGTTGGCTCGGACCAAGTGTAGCAGCCAAAGAGGGATTGTAATCACTGGGCCTCCTGACCTTAACTGGTGCTCCCTGTACATATGAAAATAAAAATAAGAAATCACCACTTTCTGTTCTCAACCCAACAAAACAACATAACAAGTTTCTCTTCCCTTTTCAACTCTTTTGTTCTCATCTCTCACCATATAGGAGAAATTTCTTTTAAAAAAATTAAAAATTGTACAATCTTTTTTCCCTTCCGTCTTCTCTTCTTTATTTTCTTCCTTTCCATCTTTACTGCCCCTATGTTAAAGTGTGTGAAAGATCTGCTTCCATACAAGTATTTTAAACAGCTTTTGAACATTACAGAATGTACAAAGTAAAAAATCGGAGCAGTGTAGAAGATCATGCTGCAAAATAACCTGGAATTTCTGAATCAATAGGTTTTGACTAAAATTACATCCTTTCAATAAAAGAAAGAATAGGAAACAAAGATTCAATTTGATTCATGGATTTAATGAAGAAAAGAAAAGTAAAAGCATAATGAAAATGAAAGGGAGGAAGATGATAACAAAAACCAAATCTCTTATTTTTCATGAAATTATAAAATATGTCAAAAGACAAAGGAAAGAGAAAATGGAAAATAGTACGAAAGAAAATTTCAAAACTTACTTTCTTTTTCCGTCTTATTACTTCTACAATAACCAAAAAAGTGAAAGCAATTCAATTTGCATTTTATTGTTTTCTCCCTTACTAAAACCACAAAACAAGTGCACGTTGTGAGGAATAAAGACAATACTTAGATTCTCACTAGTGAAGATGTACACAATTCTGACAGGTGATGTGGACCAATAATAAATGAGTATGTCCTCTTTTAATTACCAAATCAGATTTGGTAATTGACTACCATATCTGATTTGATAAGTGAATATATAACCACCATTTTTTATTTGGTAATTAAAGATGATGTGCTCATGTGTTATTAGTCCAAATCAATAGTTAGGATAGTGTACATCCTCACTGGTGAGGATCTAAGTATTGTCCCAGAAATAATGTAGCAGAATCAGTAAGGCAAAGAGATAAACCTGTTCATTTGCGCTAGGAGGAAGCCCACCAACATATACCTGCCGAGCATGTCTAGTAGCCTGGAATTATAATATTTTAAGTAAAATGTTTTATCGTACAAACAAATAAAGTCAATCCCATCTTGACTCCCGGGGAAGAATTTCTTGAGTGAAAATTTTCTGTAAGACTACTCTGAGATGCCTTTGTAGCTATTGGTTCTACTACCGTAGTCACTCCCTAAGTAAGTAACCCCTTGTTCCACAAACGGAAACTTCAAAAATCGATGCACAGCGTAATTTGACCAATCCCATCCCCCAAAGCCTTATTTGTTGACTAAATACAGAGTGTAATAACTCATGTCACTGGTCTAGGTCTAGCTCCCATGGGGGCATTTTTAAGATTTGGTGAAGTCTCCACTTTTCGTTTCTCTTAGATTGCATCATGTCAAGAGAATTAAGACCGAAGAAAAAGGGGGGTTGACCTCACTGGCTCAGAAGCAAGGCTAGCACTAGGCTCACAACTCCCTCGAGCGTACTCTTGACACTTGTGATGAACCAAAGATTAGGACGAACAAAGCTGTCAGATCAAACCTGAGGGTTAGGCTTGTTGGAGATGTTACCGTTGATGTTAATAATGCTTACGTGCGACTATTAATAAGAAGTTCGACTGTTTCGAATTCTGCTCTTACTACCTTGCTTTTGTTAAAGAGCTGCGAGTCATTTACAACGCATTTTGGTGATTCATTTTCCTTTAAGCACTACGAGTGATTTCCAACTCATAATTGGACTTCAAAAATCACTTCTAATTAATTGACATGTATTTGCGTTTATAGATGGAATTCGAATCTCTGTGTACAACGCCAATAATCCTCTTTTTTATTTATCACGTTGAGGAAGATGCGAGTGAGTTCAAAGCATAAGCATGAACTAACAAAACAAAGCAAATATGGTCCAAAACAACGCGAGTCTCGCACACAGATGTTGATTCTCCGTTACACCTTTCACCCCTATAAACCCTGAAAGTTTTCCAGAAAAAAAGTCACCTACGTCACTCAGCTCGCGTGCAACCCTGCCCCGTTATGTTATGGAAGAATGGAGCTTATTTCCGGGCTGGTTATTCAAAGCCAGCAATAAGCTGTCGGATTTTGTCCCGCAACTAGAAGAAGATCGCTTCGGGGGTCACTAGTGCAGTCGGCCTAGAATGCCTCTGTTCTGTACTCAAATACGACTTTCAGATGAATGGGAATTAAGTAATAGTTCTTTGATTTGCAGAATCAGGCCTACGAGCTCTCTGTTTTATGGCATAGATCTATTGTGATACCCCCTAATTTTGGAACACGGATTGATCAAGTCCGCGCACAAAATCAAGGGATATCAAAACAATTTAAGTATTTAACAAGCACAGAATACAAAGATGAATAATAAAGAATAAATAAACCGCTGAAGAAAACTAATAAATAAATATTACTTAATGATTCTCCAACAATTACAATTCGGAAATCCCATAACTCAAGGACCCCTTAAAACATTATCCAATAATCCAATACTATTTAAAAGTACACAAGATGAATAGACGAATGACAGTCTCCCAGCTGCGGATCCTCAACCTCGAGACTGGAACCTCTAATAACCTGAAAAATAAATCGTGGGTTAAACCCTACGAGCAAGTTCACTCTACCAGGCCTCTGAAAACCAATAAGCAGATCATCTCTGATCAAAACCAAACCTAATAAAATTTTAACTTTAATAAAGCACGATATACATGTCTATATATAATTATATATACTATACTAATCACATCCATTAATAGGTTTATTAAATTTCCATACCTATTAAATAATTATTAAAATAATATTCATACCTAGACCAATCTACCATTTCATTTTATAAAAACTCCTTTGACCTTAATCCCATCCTAGTCAGTTGTCTAATCATTTAAACAACAAATTATAATAAAAGAAATACTCTATTTAATCCCAACCCGATAATGATTTTAATTGTTTAAATCACATATCCAAAATCCAAGTTTTGACAAATCATCCACGTCTTCCCCAATATTATTTTATTAATGTAAAATAATACACTAACCAGTAAGTACTAAACTATTCTCATTTAATAATATCTAACCCTAATCCAATCCATACATACAACAACCATAGATGATATTTTAATCATCTAACACATAACAACGTAATTATGCTTTGGCAAATCAACCATGCCATTGTAAATATTTTTATTTATATATTGGCAATTCAACCATGCATCCATAAGTATATTTATTTATACATTGGCAATTCAACCATGCCTCCGTGTATGTATATTTATACATTGGCAATTCAACCATGCCTCCACAGGTATATTTATTCATACATTTAATTAGCAATTCATCCATGCTTTCCATATATGTATTCTATTCATACAAATATTTAGGTAATATATTTAATCATTTGACAATTCATCCATGCCCACACTTTAACCATGAATTAACTTTAAAATTAACAATACGCTAAATCATACATAGCCATCACATGCATATTATACGCATATCATTAATTTAACAACCAGCCTATTAAGATATGCCAAATAAGAATGATAATATTAATCATCTTAAATGATTTATATATATATATACCTACACATATGTTATTTAATGTATATATGTGTTTAACACATTCTTTAATAATCCTTGATTATTTAAAATCAATATACATACATACATACATACATATATATATATATATATATATATATATATGTATTCATCCTTCCCTACAACTCATAGACAAATTAAACTATATATACACATATATAAATAATTTTATATATATATATATATATATATACACTTCCTTCCATAACAAATTATTAATTTATTATATTTACACAAATTAGTGCAACTAAATATGTCAGAAATAGTTTCCTTTAAATACTCCATATTGGTTTAAATAGTTTTCCGACACTTTCTCACTAAAACATAAATATCTCCTAGTAGGATGGGAATCTGATAATGAAATTGGTACCATTGGAAAGAAGACGAAAAATCCTTGAATTTGAGCTCAAGAATGACCCAATTTCGATTTAAAATGACTAAGTTATGACCGTTTTAATTTCTAGTGTCGAATTAGGCCAACATAGTTTCCCACGCGCGCCCACGTGCTTACTATGCACTTGCACGCGCTGGATTCAAGCCTCCTTGTGTGCTGGTATTAGCTAAGCTCTTTCAGCTACCATGAGCTCACCACACTGAATCCATCACTTCCTTTATGCCGCATCCAATGGTCATAAATGAGTGCGCAAATGAACACGCTCACACTAGATTATTTTCTATTAACTATAGTAGATCTAAGGTCCAGATCAGCGAGTGCACCATCTTCTCATGGTCTGCAATACACCAAATAATCCCATAGTTGACCAGACCACTTCTATGGTCCAGATACACATGCGCACCAAAATTTTATGCGCCGCGATGCACCATATCAATTCACAAAAGTTTAATTAATCAAATGACCCTAATTGGCGTATACACCCTATTATCCTACACCGCGCCGCACTGGATCAATTCTTTATTGTGCCGCCGCTCCACATGCGCCAGTTACCTAGTGTATATATATATATATATATATATATATATATATATATATATATATATATAATTATTTTCCTAACAAATAATAGGAAAATAAATCCTAATAAATTCCTAAAAATATCAGAAAAATTCCAAAAAATTACAGAACAATTCTAGAAAATAAAGAAACCATAATTAACTCTCTTGGGTCACAAATCCACCTATAGATTGATTTTAAAATATACATAACACCTATATATATCAATTAAAATTGAATAATCTAAAAATCAAATATAATAGTTTATACTTTTTAATTATTCTGATCTAACCATAATTTTTAAACAAATAAATTTAATTAAAGCCTTGATACTCAAGGTGAAATCCTTATGAGTTCTAAGAGGAAAGTTAGAGAAAACTCGCCTGAAGGTTTCGAAACGAAACCGACGCTTTAAGCTTTAATTATCTCTTCCAATTCCGACGTCCTCCTTTTCAGATCCGACCTCCTCCTTGTCAGTCCTTCTTCTTCCTCTCTCTCTGTCTGTTTTATTTTTCTAACGTGTAAAACCTTTAACCCTAAAGCCTTATGTGTATTTTTATATACCTTAAATTCCAAATCATATTCCAACTAGTATTATGAATTAAAATAATAATCTTTAAATAATTTATATCTATAAACATATATATATATATAAATATATATTCCTTCCATAATTAACTCATTAGTTAATTAAATCATATATACTTATAAATATCAATAAATATATATCTATATATATATCTTTCCATAACAATTATTAATTAATTATATTTATATATAATTATATATATATATATATATATATATATAATTGATACAAAAGTGATCATTTAAATAATTAAATAACCACGGACCTTCATTAATTAACCCAATAAGGTTTCATACAAGCCCAAGACCACATCTTTTGGTCCAACTTTCCTTAAGCCCAATCCAATTAATTTAAATAAATAAGATAATTAATTAAATACAGAAATTAAAATAACTAATTACATGAAGCACATAAACAAACAAGAATTTACAACTAAGTCATATAATACCAATAAAATCAACACACCAATAATTCAATCAATAATCAACCACACAAACAATCAATCATCATACATAATCACGAAATATAACTTAATTAAAATAAGATAATTAATCTAGCACTCAATAAAATAAAATAAATCATTGAAAAATAAAATAAAATAATTAATCCTAATTAATAAATCTTTTAAAATTATTGGGGTATTACATCTATCCCAAGGAACCAAATCACAATGGATCGAAGCCCTCCTTTTCCTTTAAATTAGTGAGATTCTATCTCTTTCTTACTTGGGAGATTTTATTTTGGTCGGCATTATAGAAGCAAAGCTTCCCGGCCGACTGCCTCCTTGTGTGGAAATGCCTTTTCATGATCTCCAGCTCTTTCCCACTAGCTCGTTCTTTACTAGGCATCTAGGCGAAACCTGCCGGGTTAACTCAATGTAAAGAAAGCTCATTAGGTCAAAACAAGGGGAGTGCTTACTAAAAGGCCAGTTGGGAGGAGGTAGCTATTAGGTTCACGCTTCCGTGGTGACAGTTATGAGTCAGCATGGGATCAGGTGTCCAAGAAAACACTAGCATGTCTGCCCGGCAAATCCTTAACTCTAGAGATCGTAAGTGTTTTTTATAGAGTATACTAAGAAATCACAAAGGTAGTAATTTACCCAAGGCACTGATAGAATACACAACACATGAAAGTCGTATGGGTTGGATTGGCATTAGTCTGGATATGGCAAAATCCTTCTAGTTCGCCACATTACTAGGTCGCGTCACTCAACCGCGTTGCACTCATCTTATCTTTTTTTAAAAGTCAATCCCATCTTGACTCCTGGGGAAGAATTTCTTGAGTGAAAATCTTCTGTAAGACTACTCTGAGATGCCTTTGTAGCTATTGGTTCAACTACCGTAGTCACTCCCTAAGTAAGTAACCCCTTGTTCCACAAACGGAAACTTCAAAAATCGATACACAGCGTAATTTGACCAATCCCATCCCCTAAAGCCTTATTTGTTGACTAAATACAGAGCGTAATAGCTCGTGTCACTGGTCTAGGTCTAGCTCCCATGGGGGCATTTTTAAGATTTGGTGAAGTCTCCACTTTTCGTTTCTCTTAGATTGCATCATGTCAAGAGAATTAAGACCGAAGAAAAAGGGGGGTTGACCTCGCTGGCTCAGAAGCAAGGCTAGCACTAGGCTCACAACTCCCTTGAGCGTACTCAAACTCCATTACTGGACCGGAGATCCTGTCAAATTAAATAAGACCAACTGAATTAAAGTTTCCTAGGGATTTTTATGAAAAGCCCCTCCCTTTCATTCAGTGGGAGCACTTTTGAATCAAAAACAGCGGGTGGGCTTAGGAAAAACTGGTGCAAGTTATACACCCCTTGCTTCAATCGCGAAAGATTCAACAATGCAAGTGAATCCTAGGAATGGAGGCTTCATATTGACTCTTTTTTCTGTTCTTCATAGTGCCGAGACAGGCTTGCCCCTCTTCCCTTTGCTTTTTGAGGCTGGTCTGGAACCAATGAGACCCACTAGAGACAAAGTAGTTCGTGGTAGGCATTTGGAAATGAAAGTGGAAGCTCAACTGCTCGCTGCTTTGGTTCTAAAGGGGTTCGTACTTAAAAAGGCTAGGCAGGAAGATCTAAAAGGCAGAGACTCCCTTATGAAAGATAGGATCGAGCATGGTCAATGACTTATCTAGTAGCATTCGATAATGTTTGTGAATCGCTTGGGCATCTATTTTGCATGAAGAGGGGCAGGAGTGGGGTCTGATCTTAAATCAGGTGGGTGAAGCCCATATAGAGGCTGGGAGGGTGGTATTTTCTTCCAAAAGGTCGTAGTCGTGACCAAGAGCCATCATGGGCTCGGATGAGTATTCTTCTTTCATATTGATATCGCTATGGATACCAAAATTTTTTTGTTTGAGCTATTCTCCCATGCTTTGACCGAGACGAAGCATTTGACTGAAATCTATCAAACAGTCCCCTGCCCGTCTATCACCTTTGCTCATCTTCTCTTTTTAAAGAGGAGCGTTTGCATCAAACAACGAAATACAAACAAAGAGGCAAATACATGAATGTTTAAAAAAAATGAACACGTGGGACAAGGCAACTTAGAGTATCAATTCCGATAAAAGCATTCGACCTGGCTTGGCTCCCCAACCAATTGAACTACTTACTATAGCTGGCAGCTGGCTTACAAACACTTCCAAACTCCTCAATCCGAGACTCATAGGCATCCCAAAGATTGATGTTCAGATAAGTAAGCGATACAACCAATACCAATGAAACAATTGGCCGGGTTTCAAAAATAGATTCTTCTCAAAAGGATTATACCCATTCGATGGTTGGGTTGGCTTGCAAAATTACTCATTGGAAAAGCATGATTTTGTGTGACCTCAAGTTTTCCGGGAATCACATCTTAAATAGCTCCGGTGACGAGTACTCAATTAGCAACCCAATTGGTGATGAATTTTTGCCTTATTGTAACCAATAGCAGCATTTCAGACAGAGAAGCTGCTATTATCACATGAATGATAGCCCAAAAAACAAAAAAAAATGACTATATATACGAAGCCTTGACAATCTTACGTCTGCAATTGCTAAAAGGATAATCTTCCTTATGATCTCGATATAGTACAACTCAAGATCCGACAACAATTAGTAACAAAGTCGGACTCAGTCCCCTCTGTACTGATACAATCCCACAACTGGTTAAAGGGATGCCCTCTCTTTACAACACTTGCACATCAGGTTAGTTGGTGACCGTGTATTAAAACATAATAGTTCCCACGAATTGATGATTTACAGCTGGATCAATGTTTTACATAATCTGAATTGTGCGGTGCTGCAAAACACATGGCAAACGACAGCCTTCCATATTTACTTGGCACAACAAAAATAATTAGATGTACCACCTCGATGAAATCAAAGTTTCTAACTTCTAGATGTCCAGCATGCAACTCATACACGAGTAGAGTAGAAATTTTTATTTCAATTGGCGGTACAGATGACAACAATATTGCAATCAAGTGCACGACTACTACTATTTCAAGCTCACATTAATTTTCACATTTATGCAAAGAGATACTTAATTTTACTACATTATTGTTCAAAATAGCAACCAAAAAAAACCAAAAAACAGACGAATACGACCATCAAAAAAATTAAGAAACAGCTAAACTGTTATTAATAACATAAATCACAATAAATCATCCACAAGAAAGTTTCTCCTAAAGAGACAAGATCACCCAAGAACTGACATCCAGGCAGAGTCAAAGGAGAAAACTAGCCATCATACTCCCTTTGACTAAACTTGTTCTCGGGATAAAATACAGCCACGACTTGATTCCCGCCAAATTTTCTACCATTCAAGCCTGTACGAGCTTTCGTGGCACTATCAAGATCTGCATACTCCAAAAACACCTAAAAGAAACAAGAAAATTTTCATTAGCATTTTCAGATCAAATTGTTATATAAGCTATGCCGTCCATTAACAAATGAATAGCTAGTATTATGTTTATGCACAAACGAGCTTGACATAATTTCAGATAGTCTAAGCAATATATAATTTCACCAGAAATTTAGACAATTGTTAGAATATTAAATTAAAAAATAAATAAATAAATCCAATCTTCATTCAATATATTACCTATATATTTATATGGTCAAAAACAACTTGGTATACCAGATACATGTATCTAATTTTAACATTAGAAGCAGACTAAGAGTTCATACTAACCTTTCCAACCCCTGGAGCCGGTTCACCGTTGGGATTTGGGCGTGGGATTACAACGTTCACTAAAGTACCTGCAAATTAAATACAATGAAAATTTGATATGCAAAAAATTTCTCAGAATAAACAGAGAATGAGTATCAGTTGAATATAGATAGAAGGTTATGGAGTCTTCTGTATTGAATGTATTTTAGGCCTGATTCTGTATAGCAGAATGTGGGACTACAATAGGCTGTAAAACAGAAAGATATGAAACATAGAAAATCAATATGTGTGCAGATTTTCAGGTAAAAGAAGCAAATAAAAGAATAGATGGAACACCAGACTGCTCAAAGTACTTACCGAATTTTCCACATTCCATTCTCATGTCTTCCACTATGTCTTCATAGTCCTCATCATCTTTGAGCTCATCCTCAGTGACCACTTGGGTTAAGCATAAAACCTTAGTGGCAAGTGAACCAGCTGGTTGTAACATGAGCCTCTGCAAAACAAAATGGTATTAAGAACTAACCAGCAGACCATAACCAAACAACCAAATAGCATATAGCTAAATAGATAAATATACGAAAATGAATCCTACAGTTGGTTAAGCAAGTTTCAGAGTAAAATGCTCGAGACAAATAAATTCTCACACCTGAATTGCTATTTGTTGCTGTGCATGCAACAGTACACTCTCTTGTTCAGGTTTAGGCTGGGTAGCGCCCTGGTTGGCCCGCCTCACAGTAAGAGTTTTATCACCCATTTTAATCCCATTTAGAGCTGCACAAGCTATATCCGTAACTGAAAGATCCTGGTAAACGCAGAATGCATAGCCTTTCGAGTTTCCTGTTTCTCTATCTTTCACTAAATCAAAGCCCCGAAGGGCCCCAAACGACTCGAGCAGCTCCCTGATCTGTGCTTCTGTGAAATAATAGGGGAGCCCACCCACAAAAATACGATCAGGACCCTCAAGCCCGCCAGCGGATCCTGGTGTTAGCCCAACAGCACCTAAGTTCAAACTGGGATTGGGTTGGCTCGGACCAAGTGTAGCAGCCAAAGAGGGATTGTAATCACTAGGCCTCCTGACCTTAACTGGTGCTCCCTGTACATATGAAAATTAAAGACAAACAGAACAGTACAATGTACAAAGAATTGCAATTCCCATTAAAAATATTCACACAAGCAAAAAATCTATAAAAAACTAGTAATTAGATTTTTTTAAGAAAAGTAAATAACTTAGAAAATTTGTAAAATAAAAAATGACATGCATAGGGTTACTAACAGCAAAAAAATCTAGATATCTTGCAAGATAAAAAATAAATAAAAAGATTTCAGCACATGCAGAAGGCTTTTCCTATTTCTAACCGTGTCAAAATGATATCATACTTGAGATGCCAAAAAATGATAGGGAAAGGAAACTCAAGAAAAATAGCCCCCAAATACCTCGAAGATAATGCCATCTAGGGCCATGGCATTACTGGCTTCCTCGACAGATCTCATCTCCACAAAAGCAAATTTCTTCTCGTGGTTTATATAGACATTGACAACAGCATCCCCTGAATATTATAAATGAGAGTAGGCCCTCTATCTTTCCAACAAGAAACTGATAAAAGATGAAAAAATGCCATAGATACATACCTGGACCAGCTGTGTTTCCTCCAATTGCAGACATAACATGGCTGAAGAAAGTTGCCACCGACTGCATAAGTAGTCAAGAAATTATTAACAAAGCTGAACGCATTTGGGGCAAATTCCATAATCTGGTGGAACAATTAATTAAAAATAAATAAAAAATCTATTTATGAAATCCAAGCCTCAATGCTGCACTTATTTCACCAAGTTAAATATCAACTACTGACTGGAATGAAAGTGTCAACCCAAAGCCTAAATAATGCATTGAAAAATTTAGAACACTACTGCTGTGTTTAGTGCTTATATAAGCACACACAATAGAATTAAAAAAGAAAATAAAAATAAGAAATCACCACTTTCTGTTCTCAACCCAACAAAAAAACATAACAAGTTTCTCTTCCCTTTTCGACTCTTTTGTTCCCATCTCTCACCATATAGGAGAAATTTCTTTTAAAAAAATTAAAAATTGTACAATCTTTTTTCCCTTCCGTCTTCTCTTCTTTATTTTCTTCCTTTCCATCTTTACTGCCCCTATGTTAAAGTGTATGAAAGATCTGCTTCCATACAAGTATTTTAAACAGCTTGTGAACATTACAGAATGTACAAAGTAAAAAATCGAAGCAGTGTAGAAGATCATGCCGCAAAATAACCTGGAATTTCTGAATCAATAGGTTTTGACTAAAATTACATCCTTTCAATAAAGAAAGAATAGAAAACAAAGATTCAATTTGATTCATGGATTTAATGAAGAAAAGAAAAGTAAAAGCCAAATGAAAATGAAAAGGAGGAAGATGATAATGAAAACCAAATCTCTAATTTTTCATGAAATTATAAAATTTGTCTAAAGACAGACAAAGGAAAGAGAAAATGGAAAATATGTACGATAGAAAATTTCCACTTACTTTCTTTTTCCTTCTTATTACTTCTACAATAACCAAAAAAGTAAAAGCAATTCCATTTCCATTTTATTGTTTTCTCCCTTACTGAAACCACAAAGCGAAGGTAGCCAGAAAAGTAAACGCTGTGAGAAATAAGGACAATACTTAGATCCTCACTAGTGAGGATCTACACCATTCTGACAGGTGATGTGAACCAATAATAAATGAGTATGTCCTCTTTTAATTACCAAATCAGATTTGGTAATTGACTACCATATCTGATTTGATAAGTGAATATATAATCACCATTTTTTATTTGGTAATTAAAGATGACGTGCTCATGTGTTATTGGTCCAAATCAACCGTTAGAATGGTGTACATCCTCACTGGTGAGGACCTAAGTATTGTCCGAGAAATAATGTAGCAGAATCAGTAAGGCAAAGAGATAAACCTGTTCATTTGCGCTAGGAGGAAGCCCACCAACATATACCCGCCGAGCATGTCTAGTAGCCTGGAATTATAATATTTTAAGTAAAATGTTTTATCGTACAAATAAATAAAGTAGCAAAATTAGAATAAGAAAAAAGAAGGAAAAAAAAACAAGGACATGCTTTGTCCTCCCAACCTGCTGGGTCATTGCCTGAACCGGCATGACAGGAAGAGCTCCAAACTGCTACATGGTAACCAAAAAAATGTTTAGCAAAACATTTGCAGAGCGTAGGGGACATCAAATATTGTGAAAATATTCAAACATAAGACCAAAGGAATACCTGCCCAGACGCCAATGGGAACATGTTAGGAAACATTCCAGGAATAGTTGGGGCGGTCCCAGGGATCTGACCTGCAAAGGCCAACTTAATTAAATCCCAGCACAAAATGTGAATTTCCATCTTACTCTCTTATGATGATAACTACTGACACATGATTTCTCATTTGTAAATATTCAATAATATAAGTAAATTCTAGGTTTTTCAGTAAAATTATCAAAAGAGATGAAAGAATTACATCATATTCAAGTACTGGAGGAAATATTTGTAAAACTACCAAAACAGGCAATAGTTGCCGGTTGAAGACGAACAAGACCCATCAAACTGGTGCATTGATTCTTCCTTGTACATTAAAGCTACAGAAGTCGGCTCACGCCCATTGTCAGCACAGTGGGGCTAGTAGCCCAACATTGCCTTCTTACAACAAAAGACAAGACATAGAAAACAACAAACAAACACCAAACACGAGAAAACCAAAAACCCTCTCAGTTTCAGAATTATTTCACCAAGAAAAGCAATTAAAAGAAAGAAAATACAGCACATCTAGGGACCACGGCTCTAAATCATGTGCAATAAAAGAACAGGTACACCTTACCAAAATGACACCATGCAATTCGATACGAACTTTCCACACTATACAACAAGCCAAAAAAAGAAAAAGCAGTTATCAAAATATAACAATCTAATAATATAAGATGGGACATGTACCTGCAGCAGCTGCAGCACCAGCAGCTAACATCGCAGAAGCAGGAGGTGCCATGTCAAAACCACTGATCCTTTTGCTGCAAGTAAACACCATTAATACCATGATAGTAATGAGATTTAATATAAACAGCAATTCAAGTAAAGCCAAGGGATCCAACGCATAAGAAGTAATATAATAACTACGCAATGGAATCGGCAGTTCAACTTACAACCAAAAAAAAAAAGGTCCTAAGATGGTGAGAGAGAACAAACAAAAAAAAAATTAATAGGGCCTCTCCTCGCAATCATTATACCATTTTTTCAGTTTTGCCATTCTTTTCATCCTCGTTACATGGAAAATTTATGGCCCATAAATAAGCACACTTTATATACATGACATGTAAATAGTTCTAATAAAGTATTATTAAACAAGTAAAGTCAGTCAAACTACATTTAGGGAAATAATCATAACAGAAAATCTAAAATATGGTTCCTAGTCTGATGCCCACAACTCATATGTATGATACACAAAGTGTTCAAAAAATACAGATAATTAGAAGGCTAACATGTTGAAACATGAAAAGCATCAAGCTCAACTCCACATATAAGCAAAAGAAATGCTCTCATCAAACAAAATTCAAAATTGTCCAAGTCTGCAAATAATCCAGTAAATGAAAATTATGACACTTAAATGTATACTTTATTTCTCAATAAATAAGCTATTTGAACTTGATTCTCAAGAGTCTCACACAATCTAACAAACAAAAGAAATAAATAAATAATAGTGATTCTAGCAATAAAAAAAGATCCAAAAAGAGCTCCTTCAATTTCCAGCACAAAGCAGAACAAAAAAGGATCTTGTCACGTCATTTTAAATTACAATTTGTATTAGCTACCTTTTTGAGCGTGAACGAGAACGTGATCTTGATTTATGTTCTGATTTACCAGGCGAGCGAGATCGAGACCTGTGTCTGCGCCTGCTCTCTCTGTCCCTGTCATAATCTCTCCGCCTGCAAGCAAACATGAAGCAGCAAATTATTAACACCTCAGCAAAAGAAAAGGGGAGGGGGAGAAGAAATTCCAATAAATAAATAAAATAGGGTGAGTACAATAATAAACGTAACCAAAGCAGATGTACTGACTAGTCTTATAGCATATCAACCAAAAGAGTTTTGTCATTAAAAATTTTCAGTTTAACCGCCAACTGTGCATCAATCTTCGAAAAAAACTGAGCACATACTCAATGACTCAATGTGTCTACAAGTAGGAACCAAAAACAGCATACACTTAAAGATAAAATAGAACTGAGAGCATAAACAAACAACATTAGACTTTACCTGTCAAAGTCCCGGCTCCTGTGAAAGTCATCGTCATCTCTATCTCTTCCCCTTTCCCTTCTGTCGTTCCTATCTCTGTAGTGGTCTCTATGATGGCGGTCACGATCTTTGTCTCGATCCCTCTCCCTTTCCCTGTCCCGGGATTTCTCCCTATCCCTGCCCCTATCCCGGGATTTCTCCCTATCCCTGTCCCTATCTTTATCACGCCCTTTCTCCCTTTCCTTTTCCCTGCTTTTAGAAGACTCCCTTTCATAGTCGCGTGAACCCTGCTGCAGAAAATACAGTTGTGTCGAACAGTCAGCCACAAATCAAACTTAATAATCTAATAACATTATTAGAAATCGTAAATTTCAAATTTCAATTATCTATATAGTTTGCCGATCTTTGCCTCGTATTTGCTGCTGTATCACACTCAAGAAGTTGCATCAAATGGTGCCTATAGGTTTTCTATATCACAATTGAGAAGTTGTAAAGGTTCTCTTGATCACACTCAAGAAGTTGTAGTGTTTGTTTTCCATCCAAGCAGGAAATATACACAAACCCTAAATTCATCCAAAAACTAAAACCTCAATTCAGATGTGCTCTCAAATTTTGCATGCCAAAAAAAAAAAAAAAAAAAACTATAAATCAATCAAGCATAGATAACTGATTAACTCGAAGTTCTTCAAAAACCCTAATTCATTATTCTCGATGCGATCTCGACTACCAACAATAACCACATATACATAAAACAATCAACCCTAGATGTATAGATACAAGTATATAGAATACCTGAGACTTGGACTCGCTGTAATCATCGGCACCGACATGGCTGCCACCTCTTGGCGGAGGCGAGTCGCCATAGTTGTCGAGATCTTCGCCGTTCCCTTCGTACCTTGCTTCGTATTCCGTCATCGCTCTCTTCCTCTGTCTCTTCGTTCTCTTCGACTACTTCCTCTCTCTACAATTTCTCAATGGCCAATAATTTATTAGGGCTTCAAAAGGGTTTCAACTCTATATAAGAGCGGCCGAGAAGAATGAATCCGTCCCGGACACAGGAAAAGAATGGTAGGGTGGGTATAATAGTAAATCGGCTGAAACAAATGAAAAAACTTTTGAAAAACGTAAAATAAAAACATTAGGTAAAATATAATAACAATTAGTAGTGTTCAACTTTGAAATTCTGCATCACAATTTTACTTTCATGCATAAAATCAAATCAAAGTATTTTTAAATCTATTGAAAAAAGAAAAAAAAAAAAAATCCTATAATTGTTATAAAATAAATATTAGAGAGTCGAAACCTCCTACCCTAAAGATTGGGGGCTCCAAAATTCTCCGGAAGCATTAACAAACTGAGTTATCGAGGCATAAACATATCATATGTAAATATATACTTGTAAATTGAACCCTAAAACTATAAATATTGTATAGCATTTGTAATTTTACATTGAACTTTGAATTTTTCATATGTTTTGCTCAATTACAAACTACATGGAGCATGAATGATTGAGTAATATTCAATAAAATGTTGTTTAAATAATTTTCAAATATATTTAATTTATTGATAAAGGCAATATGATTCAAAAGACTGAGTTTTTTTATTTTTATTTTTTAAAATGTTAATTTATCTCAATTGTTTATATTAGAATATGGATAACTGCAAGGTCCTATTAGCAAAAAAAGAAAAAAGAAAAAAGAAAAAAAGAAAGTGTTAGAAATTAATTCATTTGTAAATATCTAATTCTTCAATATTGCCTTTTAAATATTTTGGTGAGTATATTAATATTTATGTACTTTAAGTTACTATTTATATATGGATACTCCATTTAAACTACGAGTGTTATCTAAGTTCACCTTATTTGATATCAAAATGAGAAGAGAAAAACATTGTTCATTTTGGTTTTAGTAAAAATGTCTTTATCTTCTCTATAATTCGATGGTTGGGTTGGGTTGGATTGCAAAATTATTCATTGGAAAAGCATGATTTTCTGTGACCTCAAGTTTGCCTGGAACCCCGGCTTCTTCAAGCGATTCGACATCAACCTCTAAATAGCTCTCCTATGATCCCATCTAAAGAGTGTATACCAAACATTGTTCATTTGCTTTCCGGGAATCACATCTTAAATAGCTCCGGTGATGAGTACTCAATTAGCAACCACAAAATTGATTCCAATCAATTGGTGATGAATTTTTGCCTTATTGTAACCAATAGCAGCATTTCAGACACAGAAGCTGTTGTTATCACATGAATGATAAAATTACGAAGCCTTGTAAAACCAAATCAACATGTTTGGTTGTCCAAAATGTAGGTCAAGCTTATATTACTATTCCCATTTATGCAAAGAAATGCTGAATTAAAACTACATTTAATGTTCAAAAGCGCATCACCAAATCACACAACCCTTGCAACAAAAAAGACCTGTCTTAAAAGGAAAAAGAAAAAAAAAAACAAAAATGTTATTTACAGACAGAAGAAAACAGACATCCAGGCATTCAAAGGAGAGGGCAACTAGCCATAACACTTCCCCTTGCTTTCACCCAACTTGTTCTCATGATCAAATTCAGCCACAAACTTGATTCCTGCCAAAACACACCTATGAAAACACAAGATAATATTCATTAGCAACTGTACGTCAAATCAAATTATTACAAATGGAGAGCCAATATTATGCGCACTCCAGTTTGCCATAATTTCAGATACTCTAGGAGAGGCTATATCTAGTTTCAACAGAAACTTGAACAATTGTTCAATTATATTAATTAATAAAAAAAATCAAATCCTCAATCAATTAGATGTATACAGATAGAGTTCATACTAGAAACTGGACGAGATCCAATACCTAGGCGACAAACTCCTATGTTCCAGAGCAACTAGAAAGATATTCTTTAACCGGAAAGAATTCATTTCAGATATAGGATTCCTATCCAGAAGTTTTAGCAACTCCGTCATCTTTACGATGGAGTTGCTAGAACTTCCTGGGGATGGTTCACCATTCCGTTATTTTACAATGTTCCCTAAACTACCTGCAAATCACAATGAAAATTTGAGATGCAAATATTTCTCAGAATAAACATAAAAAGAGTCTTCAGTTGAACATAAATAGAAGGTTATCGGATCTTCCATTATGTGTGTTAGGCCTGATACAGTATAGCAGAATGTGCTACTACAATAGACTGTAAAAAACAGAAAGATACAATACCGAAAATCAATATACAGGCGAAAAAGATTATCAGGTATAAAAAAGATTGATGAAGCAAATAAATGAATATATGGAACACCAGTTGCTCAAATTACTTACTGAAACTCAGTTCTCAAGATTTCCATTATGCTTCTTCATAACCTCATCATCTTTAAGCTCATCTTTAGTAACCACTAAAGTAAGGATGAAAACTTTGTGCTTAGTGCACCAATTTGTCATAATATGAACCTCTGCAAAAGAAAATAGCATTAAGAAACTAACCATCAGGCCATAACAAAACTGCAAAATAACAAATATATATAAGACAAACTCCTTAGTTCCAAAGTAAAAATGCTCAAGACGACAAATAAATTCTCACACCTGCACTGCTATTTGTTGCCGTGCTTGCTGCGCACGCATCACAGTAAGTTTTATCACCGAATTTAAGTCCATTAAGAGACGCAATGGCAATATCACTAACTGATAGATCCTCGTAAATGCAAAATGCTAGCCTTTGGAGTTTCCTGTTTCTCTGTCCCTCACTAAATCAAAGCCCCAAAGGGACCCAAAGGACTTTAGCAGCTCCCGGATCGGTGTTTCTGTAAGATAATAGGGGAGGCCACCCACAAATATACAATCAGGACCCTCAAGCACGCCAGCAGACTCTAGTGTTAGCTCAACAGCAGCTAGGTTCAAACTGGGATTGGATTCTCTTCGACCAAGTGTAGAGAAAGCCAATGAGGACTTGTAATCATAAGGCGTCCTGATGTTAACTGGTGCTCCCTGTACATATAAAAAATAAAAACAAACAGATCAGTACAATATACACAAGAATTGCAATTCTCAATAAAAAAAACTTTAGACATGCAAAAAAACTATCATAACTACTAAAAAGATTTATTAAATAAAACTAAATAACATAGAGAAGTTGTAAAAAAAATTGACATGCACAAGGATTCAAACAGGAAAAATCCAAGATATTTAATAAGATTAAAAAAAGAAAAAATCCAAGATATTTAATAAGATTAAAAAAGAAAATTAGATATTTTTGAATTTCTATAGGTACACGTGGTCGGTTTTAAACTTTTAATTCTGACTTTGTTCTTCTTGGGCTTTTTTTAAGTGATTTTTGTTGCATTGTAAATGAATGTGACTGTATTCTGGAACAGTTAATCTTGGTCATCATGATGTACATCGCTGCAACAGTGTGTGTGTGTTCAAATAGTATATATGAATTTTAGTGATTATGATGATACATATAATGACGGTCACGACCTTTGTCCCAAGCCCTATCCCTATCCTGGGATTTCTCTCCATCTCTGTCCCCGTCCGTATCCATATCACACCCTTTCACCCTTACCTTTTCCATGCTTTTAGAAGACTCTCCTTCGTGGTCACGAGAACAATATACAGTGGTTTCAGATGGTCAGTCACAAATCAAACTTAACAATCTAATAACATTATAAAAAAACATAAATTACAAAAGTTTATATTGTCTAAATAGTTTGCAGATGTTTGCCCCATATTTACTGCTAGTCAAAAATGCAAAAATCCAAAGAATACATCATGTACATCAAATGGTGTGTCTACCTTCTATAAATTACACTAAAAAAGTTGTAATATCTGTTTTCCATACAGGGCCGGACATATAAAAAACCCTAAACACATCCAATAACTAAAATCATGATTCAGATGTGTTTACTCAAATTTGCATGCAACAAATAAAGCGGTTCTAAATCATAAACCATAAGATAAATAGATTTAATGCCAAAGAGCATGTATAGCTAAATAAATAAATATAGGAAAATGACTTCTATATTTGGTTAATCAAGTTCCAGAATAAAATACTAAAGGAAGACAAATAAATTCTCAAACCTGCAATGTTATTTGTTGCAGTGCATAATCTTGTTCAGGTTTAAGTTGGGTAGCACACTCGTTGGCGCGCCTCACAACAAGAGTTTTATCACCTATTTTAAGGCCTTTGAGAGAACAAACGGCTATATCTGTAACAGAGAGATCCTGGTAAACACAGAATGCAGAGCCTTTGGAGTTTCCTGTGTCTCTGTCCTTCACTAAATGAAAGCCCTGAAGGGGCCCAAAGGACTCGAGCAGATCCCTGATCTGTGCTTCTGTAAAATGATAGGGGAGCCCACCAACAAAAATACAAAAAGGACCCTCCAGCCCACCAGCAGATTCTGGTGTTAGCTCAACAGCAGCTTGGTGTGAGGGGTTGTAACCCTGTACATACGAAAATTAAGACAAACAGATCAGTACAGTATTACACGAGTTATCAGACATGCAAAAAACCTATGCATAGTAAAAATAAGAATTTTTTGAATAAAAATAAGAATTTTTTGAATAAAAATAAGAATTTTTTGAATAAAAATAAAAAAAAAAACTAATAATTTGTAAAAAAAAATTAAAAAAAAAAAAAGAAAGTTGACATGCACAAGGTTTTTTTTTTTTTTCAAAAAAAAATAAAATAAAATAAAAATTTCTAGATAATAAGATTCGGAAAAATCTAGAAAATTTTCAATTTCTATAACTAGATGTTGTCAGTTTTATTTTAATTCTGACTTTGTTATTCTTGTGCTTTTTCAATGTGAGTTGCATTTTAAAATTGATGTGACTATATTTTAAAACAGTTAATCATGGTGATTATGATGATACATCGCTGCACCAGTAAGAGTGTGTTCAAATACTATGTATGAATTTTAGTTATTATGAAGATACACATAATGATGGTCACACCTTTGTCCCAAACCCTGTCCCCTATCCGTATCCCGGGATTTCTCCCCATCACTGTCCACAACCTTTTCTATATCACGTCCTTTCACCCCTTTCCTTTTACCTGCTTTAAGAAGACTCCCTTTAATAGTCACGAGAACCATACTACAAAAAAATACACTAGCTTCAAATCGTAACTCACAAATCAAACTTAACAATCTAATAACATTATTAAAAACCATAAATTACAAGTTTAATTGTCTAAATAGTTTGCAGATATTTGCCCCGTATTTACTGCTAGTCAAAAGCCAAAAATCTAAAGAATACATCATGTACAACGAATGGCGTGTCTACATTCTCTAAATCACACTCAAAAAGTTGCAATTTGTTTTCCATAGAGGAAGAACATATACAAAACCCTAAATGCATCTAAAAACTAGAGAAATCACAATTCAGATGTGTTTTCTCAATTTTGCATGCAACAAACAAAGCAGTTCTAAATCCATAACCATAAGCTATGCCAAATACATATATAGCTAAATAAATAAATATAGGAAAATGAGCTCTATATTAGGTCAAGCAAGTTCCAGAATAAAATACTAAAGGAAGACAACCTAGCGGTACCAGGCCTTACTTCCCAAAGGAAGGTCAGGGGTTCGATCCTCCATAGAGGCATGTGTGTGCGAATACCAACTAGGAAAAAAAAAAATACTAAAGGAAGACAAATAAATTTTCAAACCTGCAATGTTATTTGTTGCAGCGCATGCTCTAGTTCAGGTTTAAACTGGGTAGCACCCTCGTTGGCACGCCTCACAATAAGAGTTTTATCACCCATTTTAAAGCCATTGAGAGCACAAACAGCAAGATCTGTAACCAACGGATCCTGTAAACACAGAATGCAGAGCCTTTGGAGTTTCCTTTGTCTCTGTCCTTCACAAAATGAAAGCCCTGATGTGGCCCAAAGGACTCGAGCAGACCCTTGATCTGTACTTCTGTAAAATGATAGGGGAGCCCAACAACAAAAATACAATAAGGACCCTCGAGCCCACCAGCAGATTCTGCAACAGCTAGGTGTGAGGGGTTGTAACCCTGGACATACGAAAATTAAGACAAACAGATCAGTTTAGTATTACGTGAGATAAAAAAATATAAATAAATAAAAAGACATGCAAAAAAGCTACACCTAGTAATAATAAGATTTTATAAGATTAGGAAAAGATGTAAAAGAAGTTGATGTGCACAAAATTCTAACAGGAAAAAATACAAATATTTTATAGGATTCGGAAAAATCTAAATAATTTTCAATTCTATAGGTAGACTTGGTCAGTTTTAAATTCTGACTTTGTTCTTGTGTTATTTTAATGTGCTTTTTGTTGCATTCTAAATTAAAGTGATTATAGTTTGAAACAGTTAAAATTCTCCTGTCCCAATCCTTTCTCTACCACGCCCTTTCTCCCTTTCCTTTTGCCCTTTCATCGTTACAGTAAATCATGCTACAGAAAATACAGTAGTGACAAAATTGTCAGTGACAAATCAAACTAAACCATCTAATAACATTATTAAAAACCATTGACTACAAGTTTTAATTGTGATTGTGAAGGATGTCTTCACCTTTTCTTGTTCTTGTTTAGATTCTCTCTTTCATCACCCCATTCAGGGGTTAAAATTCTAGTTATCTAAATAGTTTGCAGATGTTTGCCCCGTATTTACGGCTAGTCAAATAATCAAGAATCTAAAGAATACATTATGTACATCAAATGGTGCGTATGCCGTTTCCTGAATCATACTAAAAAAGTTGTAATGCTTGTTTTCTATACAGGCAGACCATATACAAACCCTAATTTAATCCAAAAACTAAAATCACAATGTGATTTTCTTTAAAAACACTAATGGATCTTCACTCGATGCGATCTCGCATTGATTTAGAAAACCACACATACATAGAACAATACAACCCTAGATGCATAGATACAGTTATACACAATACCTGAGACGGAGAATCGCTGTAACTGCCGTGACCGCCACCTCTTGGCGGAGGAGAAGAACCAGTGTTGTCTAGATCGTTCCCTTCGTATTTCGCCATCGCCTCTCTTCCTCTGTATTCTCTCTCTACAATTTCTTGATGGCCGTTTCCTTCCAGTCTTGATTGTATTCCCTCTCTTCGATTAGAGCGGCCGAGAGGAATAAAGGAAAGGAAATGATGTAATGGTAAATTAGCTGACACGAACTAACCGCTTTTGAATAATTACTGTAATAAAGTACAATTTTTAACCTCTTTCGATTAGTTTTAAAATCCAATTATGTTTTTGCAATAAATCTCCTGGTACTATTTATTTGGTAAAAAAACAAAAAAAAAATTCTCAACTTTTTGAGTTTTTATCGAAAATACCCCCAATAATCAGGTCGGGGTTTATGCAATTTGCCCAATTAAGTGAATTTAACTAAACTTTTTTTTTTATTTTTTCTTTCTTGAATAATAATATTTTAACTTAAATTATTTTTTGTTACATGCAAAAATCATATTACCTCGCCTAAGTTTCTAGCCAAAGCCACCAACCTGTTCATAATTCGGTTTAATCTCACCCTAAAACTACTTTTACAAGGAAGAAGGTGAGAAACGACATGCTCTTTTGGTTTAATCTCACCTTCGTACTACTTCTACAAGAAAGAAGGTGAGAAACAATGAAAAATTATTTATGCCCAATATCAAATCTCTTTAGTAGTGGGATTTAATAGTTGAAGTGAAAAATAATTTTTTAAGAAAAATTATAATATATTAAAAAATACAAAATTTTGGAGCTTCTTATTGGTTAGGCGGTTGCTCTGCTCTACAAGTTTAGACTATCCACACGAATGCCAATTAATTGTTTCATTAGGAAGGTAACAGGGTGCATAGTAAATAAATAATTGCTATTTATTGAGTCCAATGTGAGTGAATTAGATTCTGTAGCATTGATCAATATAGTAACATTGAATTACATTTTATAACTTCGATCAATATAGTCAACAGATTACAGATTGGATTAATTGTTTCCCTCAATTTTTAGGTACTGAGGGTAGAGGTACAGAATCTGAAAATTGCATTTTGGAGTAGGGATTGATATCCCTTTGAAACTGTTTGTTGTAGGAAAATAAGATTATAAGCTGGCAATTGTGGATGGGGCATTTGGCGAATGATTGTTTTCCTAGCAAGGAGATGGTGTTGGTCATCTTGTATTCAATGATGGGATAGGAGAGAGTAATTATTGCATTCCTTTAGGTGCTCTGCATTTTGTAGCTAGAACCCCTGCACTGATTGATGCACCAGAATGAGAATAATTGGGTGTGGTGAGACAGAAATTGAAATTCACTTGCAACAGAATATCACAGATTAACTCACACAGGTATATGAGCTCCACACAAGATGTAGACTCTTCAATTTGGTTCTCAAGACTTCCCTTCTCCAGTTAGAGGTGACATTAGGAAGTTACCTATGCTCTTCATTACTGATACTGTATCCTTCCTTGTTCCTTGCATTATTCTTGTGCCTGAATCAATGCGTGCGATATCATTTAGAACGATCTCATATTGCCTCTTTACTTCCTCCACACTTTTCCCACCCGAGGCCTTGGCTATTTTGTGCCACCGGTCAGGGGTGTCCTTATCGTATATCTCTAGGTTCAAATTTTGTTGGGACAGCAGGAAGGAGAACTGGATGCCATTTTCTAGCAGCAGATTTATTAGAGTGAGTTGAGGGGAGGTAGATGGTGGGAGCAAATAATGTTTTCTGTTTAAAATAAGGAACTGTGGATTAAGTACTATTTGCTGATTAAAGCTAACAGACGAAAGGCAGTGAATGGAAAAGCCAACAGAAAGAGTTAGTGGAAAGCTCTACTGAGTTTGAGCAAAGCTAGTAGAAGACTCCAATAATGAGTGAAGATAAGTCCAAGTAACAACCATTTTAACCTTCTTAAATTAATTTGCAATATTGCAAGTTGGCAAACAAAATTTGCAGAACTGCAAATTATTTAATCAATGAAGCAGTCATGGGCTGAAGAAAGACATGGAAAAATGGGTGGGGGAGAGAGATCATTATTTTTTGTGACACAATTGTTTCCATTTCAACTCTCTTCTATTGTACAATTGTACTAAAAAAATCTAATTTATTTTCACGTGGGCTTTATTTATTAGACACAACTATGTAGTGGCCAAAACTATGAAAATATTTTAATTTTCAGATTCTACTGGACTCGGGAAATGGAAATTACATCCCTTCTCTGTGGTTAGACATTATCAGTTATGGAACTTCCGCTTGATTTAAACTAATACAATCATTAAAAGCAGGTTTCACTCTATTAGCAATGACCTTAGAAATGCACTTGTATAGAGACATTGAAATGGGCCTATAATCAGCCACCGTAGAATGATTTTGAAACTTAGGAATCAAGGTGATGGCTGTAGAATTCACTTCAGATAATAATTTACCCTAATGAAAAAATTCCAGAATTGCCTTACTACCTCTTGCCCAATCATAGACCAAACATTCTTGAAGAAAACAACATTAAGCCAATCAGGTTCAGGGGCCTTATCATCCTTAACAGAAAACATTGCAACTCTAATCTCCTCTGCAGTCAGTCACAGGTTTACTCATCATATTCTGAATATGAACAGCAGAAAAACTTTCTTCAGATTAGATTGAGCACAAACTTGAAACTCATTTAAACATTTCTTTTCCAGAGCAACCAAATTCGAATTTGTTGGATTACTATATATCCAAACCAGATTGGACAGTATGAAGTTTCCTTTTTAACTCAACTTAGGCAATTCGTCAAAATGAAGAGAATTAAGATGCTTCAAAGCAGCCTTTACCAACTTCTTCAATCTTTGCACAACTGAAAACATAGCAGTCCCTTTTTATAAACTAAAACCAAACCCCCTCAATAGTTAGTGAGGATGAGAAACCAAACTAGCAAAACAATTCAAAGTTCCATCTTTAAAGAGTAGATGAGAGTGAATAACTGAAACGACCCACCCCACCACATGGCATGATATTATCCGCTTTGGGTCTGAACCCGTACGATTTTGTTCTTGGGTTTTACCCCAAAAGGCCTTATACCAATTGGAGATGACACACTTATATATAAGCACTTCACCTTTCCTCTACCCAAGCGATGTGGGACTGTACACCTGTAGTTCGCCAATGTGGTAGCCTGACAGTGTCTCTCGCACCCGCCCACGGCACACCCGCCCACGGAGTCATCACAATCCACCCTCTTGGAGGCCCGATGTCCTCGTCTGCACACTTCTAGCTGGGTTAAGCTCTGATACCATTTGAAATGACCCACCACACCACATGGTATGATATTATCCGCTTTGAGCCTGAGCCCGCACGGTTTGCTCTTGAACTTTATTCCAAAAGGCCCTATACTAATTGGAGATGACACACTTACATATAAGCACTTCACCTTTCCTTTACCCAGGCGATGTGGGACTGTGCACCCGTAGCTCGCCAGTATGGTAGCCTGACAGTGTCTCTCGAACCCGCCCACGGCACACCCGCCCACAGGTTCATCACAATCCACCCCCTTGGAGGCCCGACGGCTGGATCAGGCTCTGATACCATTTAAAACGACCCACCACACCCCATGGTATGATATTGTCCGCTTTGGGCCTAAGCCCGCACGGTTTTACCCCAAAAGGCCTCATACCAATTGAAAATGACAAACTTACATATAAGCACTTCACCTTTCCTCTACCCAGGCGATGTGGGACTGTGCACCTGTAACTCACCAGTGTGGTAGCCTGACAGTGTCTCTCGCACCCGCCCACGGCACACCCGTCCATAGGGTCATCACAATAACTTGACAATAGACGACTTTCTAGTACCATCTCAACATAGCAAAATTCTTCCCATATCAAAATAAGCATAGTTATGCAAAAACTGCCATTTAGGAGCTATATACCCAATGATTTTAGAATTTAGACACCTTTCACTGTTTAATCTTAGTTTCAACCAAACAGAACACAGGAATTTTCAAATATCCTAACCATATTCTGAACTTCACTTTGCTTTAGTCATGCCCCCAATTTTCCAAATGCTAACAATCATGATCAATGATTGATAGAACACAGAAGTCTCTCCCTTTTATGGGCATTTTAACCAAATCTTTCTTAAGTTTGATGCCCCAAAGTGCCATTCTTCCACTCTTACCTTTATCAATATGCTTAGCACTATCCTTCAGTAAAGATTCGATCAGTAAGAGTCTTAAGCTTCACAATCTCTTTCAACAACTGAATTTCATCATTAACCTCTGCTAAATATTGAAATTTTATTTGTAGATACGGTACCACTTTCATCCCCTCATATTTCATTTTCACTTTCCCACCATATTCACACCATGTATACCCCCAGAAATAGTAGGAAAACAATTGTCAATAGGCAGAGTTTAAGAGAACTCGACAATACCACCGTTTGATTATTCAGTTCAAACACAGTTTTGACTTGTTGACCATCCACGTGATTTAAAACGGGAAACCCATTAACGGAAGTAATAGCTGGCAAAATGTGGTCCACAACTAACTGACACGCCCGTCTTCGCGCCAGATCTGGACCTCTGCTAGTTAAAACCATTGAACTTTCATTCCAAGAAAATTATTATTTGAAACTACAACTATAGCTACGCTCCCCTTCTCTCTCTCTCACACACACACAAAACAAAACAATCATTTGTCTCTCACTCTCTCGTACCGAGGCCAAGCCTACAAAGTGAGCTTGTTCAACTAATCATCTATCTTCTCTCTCCTATTTCTTCTATCTCTGTTCTATTTCTTCTCAGTAATCGTTCTTTTCATCTTTATTAGGATTTTTTTAATTATTATCTTGGAGCACTGATTGAGTATCATATTTTCATTCTTGAAGTTCCAGGTGAGCTGTGATTCTTTAAATTTTAATAATGTGTGTGTGTGTGTGTGTATATTGAGAAAATCCTCTTGTATTTCTTCTTTGGCTTTGTTCATATTTTGTTTCTTCTTTATAATCGATAGGGTTTCGTTATTTACCTGCCTTATCTTGGAGCACTGAGTATCGAATTTGTTGTTGAAGTTCAGAGGTGAGTTGAATCAAAACTCTCTCATCTCTCTCTCTCCCCCCTTCTTCTTCTTCTTTTACTTCTTCTTCTCATCATCATAATCATCATCATCATCATCAAC